AGAGTAATCATTCTATATCTACTATTATCTTCCTTATATCTGGTATATATTCCCTTAATGTAAATAAGTAGTAAGATAATCTTGTACAAGCGTATTTTATAAATGATATCCAGATGACATTTTTTTTAAAAGTACGCTTCCTTTATAAGGAAAGATAAAAAGTCATACTCTTGTATAATCCAGACTCTCAATAATATTTAACTTTAAATAAAGGGTGGTAAGGAATTGAATTTGTTCTTTCCGTCATTCAGGTGGCTATACCAGTGATGCAAACAGTAAGCAGCTTTCAAAATGGACACCCAAGAAATGTCACTGGATATTAAAATAACATCTGTAGAGTAGTTTACAGTTCACAGAGCACTGTTACATGTATTCTCATTTAATTGTTTCAACAACCTGTGAGATGTAAGGTTTTTCCCAGGACTTGGGCAGGTGCAGGGAGGAGGACGTCAGGTGCCCTCCGCATCTATAGCTAACTCAGTTCCTCCGCATCTATAGCTAACTCAGTTCCTCCGCATCTATAGCTAACTCAGTTCCTCCGCATCTATATCTAACTCAGTTCCCCCGCATCTATAGCTGACTCAGTTCCTCCGCATCTATAGCTGACTCAGTTCCTCCGCATCTATAGCTAACTCAGTTCCTCCGCATCTATAGCTAACTCAGTTCCTCCGCATCTGTATCTAACTCAGTTCCTCCGCATCTGTATCTAACTCAGTTCCTCCGCATCTGTATCTAACTCAGTTCCTCCGCATCTGTATCTAACTCAGTTCCCCCGCATCTGTATCTAACTCAGTTCCCCCGCATCTGTATCTAACTCAGTTCCTCCGCATCTGTATCTAACTCAGTTCCTCCGCATCTGTATCTAACTCAGTTCCTCCGCATCTGTATCTAACTCAGTTCCCCCGCATCTGTATCTAACTCAGTTCCTCCGCATCTGTATCTAACTCAGTTCCTCCGCATCTGTATCTAACTCAGTTGTAACGCATCTGTATCTAACTCAGTTCCTCCGCATCTGTGATCTAACTCAGTTCCTCCGCATCTGTATCTAACTCAGTTCCTCCGCATCTGTATCTAACTCAGTTCCTCCGCACCTGTATCTAACTCAGTTCCTCCGCACCTGTATCTAACTCAGTTCCTCCGCATCTGTATCTAACTCAGTTCCTCCGCATCTATAGCTAACTCAGTTCCTCCGCATCTGTATCTAACTCAGTTCCTCCGCATCTGTATCTAACTCAGTTCCTCCGCATCTGTATCTAACTCAGTTCCTCCGCATCTGTATCTAACTCAGTTCCTCCGCATCTGTATCTAACTCAGTTCCTCCGCATCTATAGCTAACTCAGTTCCTCCGCATCTGTATCTAACTCAGTTCCTCTGCATCTGTATCTAACTCAGTTCCTCCGCATCTATAGCTAACTCAGTTCCTCCGCATCTGTATCTAACTCAGTTCCTCCGCATCTGTATCTAACTCAGTTCCTCCGAATCTGTATCTAACTCAGTTCCTCCGCATCTGTATCTAACTCAGTTCCCCCGCATCTGTATCTAACTCAGTTCCTCCGCATCTGTATCTTGCTTCATTCTACAGCACCACAGTCTATAAGGAACTGATACTATTCGTAGCAAAACTACAGTGGTAAGTATGTGGCCCCAGGTGGCATTTACTTTGAGGTATCATTTGAGGCTTTCATACTTTTATTTTGGAATATTAATAAACTGACTGCCAAAAAAGTAAATACCAAGATCCACATCAGACAAGAAAATATTATGCCAAGCTGCTTGCTATTAAAGATCAATTCAATTCTACCAATATTACTGAATCACTGCAAAGCACTAGGTGAAGACCTAAAATATATTGTGTAATAAACAAGCAGACAGGCGCTTACCTATCTCCCACTACTTATAAAGCTGTCTTTGGTGGACTTCTTTCAGGACTCCCATAAACAGGCTGCTGAGAGCCCTAAGTGTGAGGGAATTACTCTTAAATTCTTTTCAAAAGGGGAACTATAGGTGTCTGATGGGAGAATCTGTCAGATTTTCTGGAAAATGCCCCAATGTAAATTAAACAGGAAAGTCTAAAGTTATCCTCTAAGAAACCACTAAAATCTTAAATGATGTTCCCTATTTTATTGTTCACAGTACTGATGAGTAAATTAGTTACCAAGCCAGAAGACAATTGTCTTACAATAAAAACAAACCAAACCAAACCAAACTAAATCAAACTCTTATCTCCAAGCACTAGGGCTTTGAAGTAGGGTAACTGTACTTTTTATTGTCCAAACAGGACCCACTTCTGAGACCAAAAGAGAGTGCAATTAATCATTAGGCATAAACTGGGACTGGCTGAGGCAAATCAGAACGTGCAGTCTACCTGCTTATAAGACACATGTCCCTGGCCATCCTGACCTGAGATTACAAAACAGAAAAGAAACACGAAGACTGAGGGAACTCAAAGCAAGGAAATAAGCAAGAAAAAAATAAACTTTCACATAGCAAGTTTTCCCACCATTTTACAAAACAATTTGAATATTAATAGTAATTTACTTAAACCAGGATAAAGAGGAGGGCAAGGAGGACTGGTTAAAGTGAATTTATGAAGCAGTCAGGTCCCAGATCCCTTCCCCAACAACCCAGCAAAATACTATAGGTTTATTTTCTAACATAAAACCAGTTCCCTGCACAGTGAGACTGGGCACAGCTGAGCAGAAGCACGTACTGTACCAAAAACCACAGCTCAGGTGAATGCATACAGCTGGGATGCTGAATGCAGTGAAACTCCCCACCACCATCCTTCTTCCCTACTTCATTCCCAGAATGCTGGCAGCCAAGCCTTCATTCTCAAGGCAAGAGACTTGAGGAATCTCTGAGAAATCTGACCAGCCTCAAAAGAAAGACCTAAAGCTATCGACACGGAAAGTTCTCCAACCAAACGGCCCAGTCAGATGACCCTATTGCAAAACTCATAGTCAATAAGCCCCCCTCATATGCTCATAGCTCTGAATCAGCTTTTTGCTCCTCACTATCATATATGAACACACAAACAAATGTTACCACACATGTAATGAAAGATTCTATTATAAAAGACAGACATCAGAAAAAAATATATAACAGACAAAAGTAGCTTAGAGTTAAGAGAAAGAAAATTAAACAACAAAAATTAGTCCCATTTGCAGAGAGATAAGAGGACATTATAATTACATAACGAGAGCAAGAAACTATAAAAAGAACATGCAGAGAAGTTAAAAAAAGTCCTTGGAAATGATAACCTCATAGAGAAATTAAAAGATACAGCTCAGGAAGTCTTCACAGAAAGCAGAGCGAAAAATAAAAAAGATGGGCAACAGGAGAGAAAAGAAAATTAAAGCTCTAACCTCCACTTAAGAGGAACTCCATAAAAACAGAGAAAAAGTAATCAACAAAAGAATTCAAGAAAATGTTATAGAAATAAAGGACAGGACTGTTCAACTGAAAGCATCTGCATAACATCAGGAAAAATGGAAAAAAAGAGACTGATGCCAAGGCAGATTATTGTAAAATTTCAGAACACTGGGATAAAAGGAAAGATCCTAAAAGTTTTCAGAGAGTAAAAGTCACAAAAGACAAGATCAGAATGGCTTCAGTGTCATCAATAGCAACACTAATTAACGAGAAAACAGTGGAGAAATGTCTTCAAAATTTTGCAGGGCCAGCTCCGTGGCCACGTGGTTAAGTTCACGCGCTCCACTGCGGTGGCCCAGGGTTTGGATCCTGGGCGCAGACGTGGCACCGCTCGTTAGGCCACGTTGAGGTGGCGTCCCACATCCCACAACTAGAAGGACCTCCAACTAAGATACCGTGTACAGGGGCGGTTTGTGGAGATAAAGCAGGAAAAAAAAAAAAAAAAGAAGATTGGCAACAGTTGTTAGCCCAGGTGCCAATCTTTAAAAAAAAAAAAAAATTTTGCAGGAAATTATTTCCAACTAGAATTCTATACCAAATTACAATCAAGTATGAGGAAATCACAAAGACGTTTTCAGATATGCAAAGTCAAAAAACACTGACCACCCATGCAAGCTTTCTCAGGAAGCTATTGGAGGATTAACACTGCAAAGATGAGAGAAGAAACCAAGAAGAGGAAGACATGGAATACAGCAAACAGGAAATCCAGCAGGTGTGAGGTAAAGGGAGATCCTAGTTAGACAGCTGTGTCCCAGATGTGGAAAATAACCTGTTCAGACTGAAGGCTTAAAGAAGGTAAAACTGACACAACACCTAAAGGGTCTGAAAGTCCTGAAAGGGGAATGAGACAATTGGTGAAAGCAAACAAAAGAAATAACACAATTATTAATTCTAAAAAGATTTTTAAAAACATGAACAGAAAAACAAAAAGGAAGACAGGAAAAGAAAAGCAACCATAGTTTATCACGTGGCTCAGCTGTGAAAAGCAGTTATATAATTATAATAATGTAAATACACAACAATGACTTAACAAAATCAGGACGAAATTTATACTGGGAGATTGGGGACATAAAAGTGACACAGTAGGGGCAGAGGGAAGAAAGCCAGCAAAATCCTCATCTACAGAGGAGATCGACATATCATGCCCCAAACTGTAAAATCAAGAGCGGCCGTGCAACTGTGCTGTTTGAGGATGGACTAATCAACTCAAAGCTAAAGAGGTCACAGTGCAGAAGAGGAAACGGGGGACCCCAGGGGAAGGAGGCCTGCCTGCTGTTTTCTGTAGTAACCTCTTAGAATTACTGGTCTCTAAACAATAAGCATGCATAAAATTTTGTTAAACCATTTGATAAAAACAAAGGAAAAAAAACGAAATGAGGGAAATTATCAGAAAAAGAATTCTCTAAGACATTGTAATTTAAATATCAAATTGTTTCAGCTGTTAGTTAGTCTGTATCAAACTTTTTCCCATGACTAAAGCCACACCAATGTATACGTCACTTGAATATGATCTGCTCTCATTCATACTCTCCAAGCATGAGTACAGACAGGGCATTTCTAAATCTTACCTCAAGCAGAGCTGCTGCAGGATCACCCTGTAGACTTTTTCCTAGTTTGTCAACCTCATCTAATAGGAACACCGGATTGTTAACCCCGACAGTCTTCAAACCATTGATTATACGACCAGGCATACTGCCAACATAGGTGCGCCTACAGGAAGCAAGCAGCAAATTAACATCGATGACACATCGCGAGACAAGAGCAATGTCATTTAGAAATCAAAACTCAGGATTGGAGAAAAGTCATTTAGTTATCAGAGTAATACAGCAAAGAGCTACCATATATTTTAAAAACCCTACGATACATCAGAGTTATTTGATTCGAGTCTTATTTTCTATTTAATTCTGACTTAAGTTACCCATGATCCTGGAAGAGCTGTATCTAACTTTTGCCATTTAGTGAAACTGAACAACATTACACTTAAGTCATATAGTTATGATTCTTACTCTTCAAGATTCCAAAATGTCCAAAGGACCCTGTGAATTTAATTCTCCTGCTTTCCACGGTTTTTTAGAGCACACTCCTCACCCTCCACCGCTCATACAAGCACCTTTTTACATACTGAAATGGCTGCCCAGGGCTGCTTACAACATCATCATCTCCTTCATGAAGGAAATCAGAACTGGTTCAAAGAGACATTCAAAACACTGACCAAAAGAGAGGAAAAAAAAAAAATACAAACTCCTTTATATTCAGAGGCAATACTTTGCTACTAACCGTAGTAAGAGGATCTGGGGTCAATAGTAAATCAAAATTCTATTAATCCTGGCCTTTTGAATAAAACTGTGCTCAATCTATATACACTAATTGGAATAACTAAGTTTGGGCAGATATTTTGTTGTGCATTAAAACGTTAGACAGTGCTTTATCATATTTGAACAAGAATCACTGACATAATTATGACAGATGTAGAGTGTGGCATGAAATAAAAAATGCTTGACAAACTGAAAAAAGTGTCTTTTTCACAAAGCCAGCAAAAGTTTATTTTAAGCAGCAATTTACCATTTTTAATTACAACCTTGCTGCCTAAACCAGGTACAACGTAAACGCTGTTTGTGAAAAGGCATAAAAGGGTGATTGCCTAGAAGAAGTTGATCAATGATAAGGGGAACAGTAGCAGTTATCTCATGATCTATACAAAGCTGATTCACAGAGCAGGCCTCAGTTCTGCCACAGGACTGGCATAAAGTAGGAGAGGGGAGAGAGACCTTTGAAAAGACAAGAAAGTCTTAAAAATATCTTGGGAATGCCGTTCATCCAGGGAGGGGACGGTGACCAAGGCAGTGGACCCAGACAATAAACATTGTCCTGTTACGATAAGGAGTTAGCACATTCAAGATTTCAGAACAGGATACAGGAAGGACAAGACTCAAAATTAATCAGTTCTCTCTGTAGAGAACTTTCAGATTCGCCACTATGCTGAGAATAAATAGGGAAGGAAAATTTTTTCTAAAAACCTCAATGTCTCTCAAAGTCACTTCTTGTTGCATTAATTTCTTTTCCTTTCCTCACTGTTTTTGATAGGTAGATTTCAAAAACAGGTACTGACAATTCTAGATAAAGTCATGGAGAGAAAATAATATTCTAAGCAGGTGTCCTTTCTAAAGAAGTGGAAATCTAGATACTAGTCACCGTATACAGCCACAATTCCTCCTAAACTTTCCACTGCTTCCCAGAACCTAGAGTAAGGTCCAAACTCCTTTGTCTGGAATCCCAGGCTCTTCACAATCTGGCCCCACCGGCCTTCCTAACTTGCTGCCATTACCCTCTTGCTTCATCCACAATCAAGATCCTTTTAGACCTCTTATGCTTTTGTACCTTTGTTAATATGGTGCCTTCCTGCCCTTAACACTCTCCATGCCTGTGGAAATCCCAGCAATTCTACCAAACTCTTCCTGACCACTTCTCACAAAGTGATCTTTCCAGCAATACAATGTCTATAGCACTTACTGGCCCTACAATTCCGCTGATGCATACTTATGGCCCTGTTTTTATTCATGGGTACCAAGCACACAGCCTCCTCTAAAGAGCCAGGGAGCACTTTGATGACAGGGAGTGAGTATTGTTACAGAGTAGACAGATGCAGGATATAGAGCTGTAAGGTTCTCCTCACACAGACGCTTGTTTCTCCTATTTACTTAAGGACAGCAGATCAACCATGCCAGCACACAAAGTATCTTATTATCACCACGTTTATACTGTCAAGGTCATACAAGTCTTTGATTACTGCTTGGACAAATTACCTGACCTAAGCCTATTTCCTCATCTGTAAAATGGGGATGATAACAGTGCCAATCGCATGCATTATATGAGGATTATGAGAAAACATAATAGGTAAAGCACACAGCTTAGTGCCTGGCACATAGTAAGCTTTCAAAAGACGTCGACTGTAATTGTTATTAGTAACAGCTACTTAAAAGTCCACCTTTGGCTTCCCGGAAAAAGTACAAAAGCAGAAATCAGTACACCAAAATTTAAGTCCCATTTCAATCTCTGTCTCATGGAAGCAACTCTCATAAATGTCTTTTCATAGCACCAACCACACTCAATGCCTTTAGTGTCCGTCAATCACAGGTGACATCCCCCAAATGTGACCCACTATTCTAGAGGTCAAGCCAAGAAGACAACTATTATCACAGAGCCCATAAGCTACAGAACATATCTATAATGTCTCTTTTGCCAGAAGATATGGTAGCATGCAATTCACTGACTAAAGATACAAAACATACTTTGAATAAATTTTTGGAATATGATGGTGGAAAATGTAGCAAAACAAAATAAAAACATTTTCTTTCAATATTACCAAATATAACCATTTTATTTTAACAAATTAGCATACCAAAATTTCTTCCTGAGAAACTACATAGGTTGGAAATAAATATAACTAGTATTCTTTTACAAAGTATAACTTCTTTGAGGGCAAAATAGTAGTCTTTCCTATATTCTGCCTCACGATACAACATCTACAAAGCTACAGAGCACAATAGAGGAAAGCCTGCAAAGAAGAGCTCAAATCAATTACTTATTATTTAGCCTCAATACACGATTACCTAGAAGTTTTTCTTAAAATTGAAGTATACAAGTTAATTAAAAAAATATATGAATTCCTGCTTTTCTTATAATTGCTGTAGGCAGTTGATAGGTTTATCAGGACTATTCAACTAGTGTAGCAGATACATAAAAACAAAAGTGTCTACATAGTTCAAACTTTTAAGGTACAAGATCATTTTTCATTTTCCAAAAAAACAGTCCAATTTATACTCCAAGAAACAACTACAGAGAATTGCAATATCGTCTATTTACAGCTCCATGCTAATCAAGTATTTTACTATTCGGCCTCATCCCTAGATATCTTCAAATCTAATGTAATCCAAAATGCTAGACAGCTTGTCACTGCCAACGACACCTTAATACCAGGAATAAGATGAACCTTTGCTCACCTCTTTTCCAGTATGTAGACAAGGGAGAAAAACAGGCATTTTGCCATCAAATTTTCATGCCTATTCAATTAAGTAGCTCTTATGGGCTATAATGCAAACTATTCAAGTGATATTTACAAAGAATTTATAATATAAAAGTTTATGTTGTAATGTTAAGTGAAAAGGGTAAAATTAGAATTCTATTGCTTAAAAAAAGAAAGGCAAAAACTGCCCAGTGAAAAGTCTGGCAGGAAATAAAATGTTAAAAATGACCACCCATGAGGATTTTTCCTCCTATTTTATAAATTTTCTACCAAGAGTGTATACATATCGCTAAAATTGGAAAAAGTAAGAAGGCTTAAAGGAGATCCTAATCATTTCAAAACAAAAAACAGTCTTTAAGGAACTAAAGATAGTCTTTTTTTTTTTTGAGGAAGATTAGCCCTGAGCTAACATCTGCTGCCAATCCTCCTCTTTTTCTGAGGAAGACTGGCCCTGAGCTAACATCCGTGCCCATCTTCCTCTACTTTATATGTGGAATGCTTACCACAGCATGGCGTGCCAAGCAGTGCCATGTCCGCACCCGGGATCCGAACCAGCAAACCCTGGGCTGCGGTAACGGAACGTGCGAACTTAACCACTGCGCCACTGGGCAAGCCCCAAGATAGTCTTAAATATAGCATGTCTAAACAAATCTAATTGTTATTCTTCTAACAGTCATTCTTAAATCTTTTTATACACTCATTTGGATGGATGCTCTCATCTAAAGAACTGCATTACTTGAATTCACAAAGCACTCAGAACACACTACCAGTGTAGCAATGTGCTAAGCACCGTGGAGTGAAACAAAGGAGGATGAGATGCAATCGAACCCCTGCTCTATAGAGCTTCAACTTCTTTATGTTTTACCTCTACGAGTTATGCATTAGAAACACCAGAGGCCTCCATTATTCAATCAGTAAAAGAGCACAGTAGATGACAATTGGTCAGTTTAGAGGAGAGTAAGATCATCACTGACTACACTTAGATTAATGGAGGAGGCCTTGGGTTGGGGCCTTAAAACGAAGCTAAGTTTTAGACACGTAAAGAAGAGCTATGCAAATACAGGTTATAAGAAGGACAGTAAGCAAACCATAATATGTCTGGCATTCTATGCTAAGAAAACATTAAAAGCTTGCTACTTCATTTTCTTTTCCCTTGTAGAGACTAATAACGAAACAGCTCCAGTATTTAAAAATCACATTGCAGGTTCCATGCAAAAATTCATCAACATGGAAAGCAAAAGTTCATTTTTCTTCTCATCTTGTTTGAAAATTGAGCCCAGGATTCCTTGTAATGATATGATTTTATTATCTGAACAAACAGCTGGTCAACTACTTCCAAAGAGTTAATATTAATAACTTGAGATATACCATACCAATAAGTATATTTGACCAAGGAATGACTAAGGAAAAACAGATTTTTATGCAAATGATCTCATAAAAAGAAGTTATTTTATATTTAACTTCTATGAACTGATTCAAAATTATTTAATGTAATAGTAAATATAAACATCTAAGTTGTAAGATCCAATAAATGGGAACAGAGACTCTGGGGCTTATAAAAGAAGACAGAAAGGGGCCAGCCCCATGGCCTAACGGTTAAGTTTGGTGCACTCTGCTTCAGTGGCTCAGGTTGGGTTCCCAGGCGCAGACCTATACCACTCGTTGCTGGCCATGCTGTGGTGGCGACCCACATACAAAACAGAGGAAGACAGGCACAGATGTTAGCTCAGGGTGAATCTCCCTCAGGAAAAAGAAAAGAAGTGGACAGAAAAATCCCAATGGAGGTAATCCCAAATGAGAAATGTTGAGAAGACTGAAAACCTGCAGAGTTAATCTGGAGCATAAACAGGACTATTCTTCCTTTAAGCCACTCAACACGGTATGAACAAAAACAATGGGCCAATGTTTAGTCAGATCACTATTATTTTCCTTACTTCAGATTTAAATGTAAACCAAGTCTTTCTCTTCCTTTCCCATCTCACATCTCATTATCATTTAACTCTAAAAAAAAAATCTTTAGTTGTTTTTAAAATCAATTCCTAACTCATTAGCACCTTCCTTCAAGTAAACAAATACTCCTAGCAAAACGCTAGAGCTGCGTGCCTGTGTGGGAGAATAGAAAAAGTGAGGGACAAAAGAGAATCAGCAAGGAAGATAACATAAAGCAGCTCTGGCTTCCACTGGCTATTTTAAGACTGCAGAACAGCAATGCCTGCTCAGGGGCAGAGGAAAAATAAAACTTTGCATGAACTCTAATTGTGATCATATGACCAGTACTTAAATGCCAAGACTTGGGTGTTTCCAAAATGCCTCGACTGTCACAGGGAATCACTTGTTCCCACAAACTCCACCCCTTGGTTGTGCTATAATCCTCTACTGTTCTTTCTCCCCTTCCATTCATCTCCAATCCATAACTCTTGACATAAGCGCACACACTGCTCCCAACCTCTCATCTCCTTAACAACCCCCCCGCACCTGCCTCCAAACGGGTTTTCAAATAAAAATTTTTCCAGGCTTTAGTAACTCACGATGTAGGTGGTCCCCAAGAGCACAAGGGCAGCCTGCTGTAGTGGTTAGGGAAACATCTGCTACAGTGATGGCTAGGAAGTACTTACCAGCAAGGTGAACCAAAAATCAGCCTTAATAGAAGGTTTCACAAACAAATCCACATACCTTTACTTGGCAATGATCAACTTTTATACATACCATAGATTTCTCAAAAGTTCATGTTTACAGAAATTTTAGGCAAACACACAATCTTTTATAAAACTCATAAAAAAAATTCTTCTTTTCTTTGGATTCAATTCTTTTCTTTTTTGAGGAATATTAGCCCCGAGCTAGCTACTGCCAATTCTCCTCTTTTTGCTGAGGAAGATTGGCCCTGAGCTAACATCCATGCCCATCTTCCTCTACTTTATACGTGGGATGCGTACCACAGCATGGCTTTTGCCAAGCAGTGCCATGTCTGCACCTGGGATCTGAACCGGCGAACTCTGGGCCGCTGAGAAGCAAAACATGTGAACCTAACCGCTGCGCCGCCAGGCCAGCCCCTGGATTCAATTCTCTTAACGACAGTCATACACATGTAAACATACTCACTTGAAAAGAGTGAACAAATTTAGTATCTGTCAGTATCAGTACAGATTTAAAGATCTGTACAGATCTGTTTAAACTCAGTCATGTTCACAAGCGGTGAGAACTGTGACGTTAAATACTGCCCACAAACAGGCATCATAAGAATACATTTTTCCACAATTCTGCCACATAAATTAAATAATAATGTCAAGAAAAGGATGTTTTAGGTAAAATTTAAAAATCAGATTAACTTTTATAAAAAATCATATTGAAGCTTATAAATCTAAACTTGTCCTCCTGAGAACGGAGAATTAAACAAACATTTAAAGCTTATTTTTAGAAGCGTAAGCACTCACTATCTAAGTGCTTCCCAAGCTTTACTGAATAACCAGTACTGAGGTGGAAAGAATAAGGACAAATTATCTACATGTCATGTGCCCATGACATTAAGTCCACAAACTCACTAAGTTCCATCATATACTCACATGATACGATGCTGCAGGTAACAAAAGGCAGAAACAAACTAAAACAGCCCTGAGCGCGTACATCAAGTCATCCGAATGGGGAACACCTCCCAACAGCTCTATAGCTAAAATTAGAAGATTTAGACCCTAGATTCAGCTTCTCCAAGATTGGTCCAAGAGTAATGGTGCCGATTTCTTTACAAAAGCAAATTACAGCCTCTAGTGGCACATGTGAGAATAGGAAAACCTAGGTAAAAATATTGAAATTGTCAGAAAGAATGACTCAAATAAATTCCCTGAACTGAATATGTAGCCCTCATTGTTTATTAAAATCTTGGAATGACTTTTCTTTAATGCATAAAAAATGTAAATAAGCAAATAGAATAAAAGGAACCATTTTTCACGGAAAAGTTTCTGAAACAGTTTCCCATTCCTGCCTAACGTCAGTGACCTTGTTTGAATAAGGCAAAGGGAAAATAAGATGATACAGAAGCATCGTATTATTTTTTTCCACAATCCAAGTTTAATCCATATTCACCAACTATAAATATGCATTTAAATTACTGGCATGCTTCTCAAAGCCTCCACTTTTAATTTGGTTTGCTTTAACAACTTCAAGATTGAGGGTATGATGGGAATAGAAGTTTTATCTTCAGTTTAATTACGCTGTACTGGAATTTAAGGAGCTTCTTTTTTAAAAAGTTTTTAAAAATTGAGATATAACTGACACATGACAGTATATTAGTTATGTGGACGTCTTTCTTCTATAAGCAGTTCATGATTTCTACATTTTTAAATGTTCTTTAACACATACACCACAGGTGTTATAGTGTCTCACAACTTCCAACTTCTATGAAACACCTAAAGCACGAGAGACAGGTTCATGCTTTCCCAAGGCCTCTTCCAGTCTGAGCAACAGAGACTACAAAGAAGAAAACAACGAACCCAACATGAAAATCTGATTCTAATAATGTCAGATTAAGCAGAGGCACCATTCTTATAGTTCAATGTATTTTTATAGAAAGATGCAAGAATAAGCCTTAATTAGCCTAAGCTTTCTCCTTATTACTCATACCCATTATGCAAAACAGCCTTCTTAAAAGGAAGATTAAACTGCAAACAAAACAAATTTATTATTGAAGATTTCCTACCTCCTCCTACCTGCCCTCGCTATTCCATTTATTTATTTGTTTTTTCCCAAGGAAGATTAGCCCTAACAGCTACCAATCCTCCTCCTTTTTCTGAGGAAGACTGGCCCTGAGCTAACATCTATGCCTATCTTCCTCTTCTTTATATGTGAGATGCCTACCACAGCATGGCTTGCCAAGCGGTGCCATGTCCACACCCAGGATCCGAACCAGTGAAGCCCAGGCCACCGAAGCAGAACGTGGGAACTTAACCACTGTGCCACCAGGCTGGCCCTATTGCACTTATTTTTAAACTCTAAGAGTTATCGGTCATTATTTATGAAACTCTATGAGGCAAAAATGAATGTAAAGACATTATAATATCCAACCACAACTAATTTATAATGGCATTCAAATGAGAGTCCAGGAAAGCAGAGGCACAGTCTTGCTATCCACTGTTAAACATAGATCAAGGTTACTTTGGGTTTGCCGTTATGGCAGAGGCTCTGGGCTAGCTGATAAGTACTGTAAATGTCCTTTCCATTCAAGGCACCACAAACAGCCCTTTAAGAAAGAGAGAAAGATTATGTCTTGGCTTCTGGGGGGCTTTAGTTCATTGAGAAAGGAGAACCCAAGATGAAAGTGAGAAAAGTAGTCTACCTGTGTCCTCGGATGTCAGACTGATCGCACACTCCTCCAAGTGCAATCCTGTGGAACTCTCGACCCAGAGTCTTAGCCACCGATCTTCCCACGCTTGTCTTACCGACTCCAGGAGGGCCAACAAAGCAAAGAATGGGGCCCTTCAGGGTGTTTTTCAGCTGTCTGACAGCCAAGTATTCCAGCACTCGTTTCTTCAATTTTTCCATGGCATAATGGTCATTATCCAGAAGAATCCGGGCTGCTCGAATGTCCAGACGGTCTGTCAAATAATCCAACAGAAATCATCTGAGCCAATGGAATTTTTAAGTGGAAGAACGCCTTTCAAGATTTGCAAGAGCTAAAATATTTTTTAGAAAAAAGATGTGACAAGAACAGACTTGGATCCGTCTAAACAGGTTTTCAGGGAGACCCAGACTTGGTTTTTCTGCTTAAGAATCAGAATCTCCAGAAATAGTAGGCCTACACAATTAAAAACTCAAGGAGTTATTACTCATATCATTTCATTTCGATTGATTTTCTAGATACACATTATTTCTATGGACACAATTTTTACATATTCTATTTGGACTGGTATTTGTTCCTTTCTTTTTTTAAAAGTGTTTTTTTAATTACAGAGGTATATATGCTCATTCCAGAAAATCTGATGACACTAACAAAAAAGAAGGAAATACTCATCCATAATCTCATGCCCAAGAAAGCATCACTGCCTTCACTTTGGTATGTATTATTTCAGGTTCTGTGTGTGTGTGTGTGTGCTTATATACCTATTTTTCAAAATGGGATTATATGAGGACTTTAAGTTTTATAAAATGTTTTTCACTTAATATATTACAGACATCTTTCAGTGTCAGATGTACTTTTCAGTAACATTTTAGTGGCTACACAATATTCCATTATTGAATTATCCTTACTCATTTAACTAATTCCCTATTGCTGAGCATTTAGATTATCTACAAATCTTAACAGTTATAAAGTATGCTTCACTGTGCATTCTTGTAACTAAATCTCCACATGTACTGCTAATTATTTCCTTGAGCTGACCTTCTATAAACAGAAGTGCTGGGTCAAACAAAAAAAATTAAGATGCAGGGGCTGGCCCCGTGGCCGAGTGATTAAGTTCTCACACTCCACTTCGGTGGCCCAGGGTTTTGCTGGTTCGAATCCTGGGCACAGCCATGGCGCCGCTCATTGGGCCATGCTGAGGCGGCATCCCACATGCCACAACTAGAGGGACCTACAACTAAAGATAGACAACTATGTATTGGGGGGCTTTGGGAGAAAAAGGAAAAATCAAATCTTTAAAAAAAAAAGAAAATTAAAAAAAAAATTTATGAGTAAAGAATTGCCTAAGTTCTATCAATTAAAGTCTCACCAGAAAAGTATGAATTAGGCTTTCTTTCTAGAATCAAGGTTTCATCAGGTTTACTGATGTGCTTTAGTATGTAAAATACCCACTGAATAAAGACTAGGTCATGGAAGCCAAAATAAATTCATCAGCTGGGTGGCAATCAGGGGACAATACACAGACACATGATCATGCTGACAGGGAAAGAGGACGGGAGAGAGAAAAACATGCACGTGTCCACTCCTGCAATGACTTCTTTGGAACTTGCTATGCACTTTTCCCTAAAGGAACAAAAAGATGGCCTTAACTGATAGTCTGGTTCCCAAGCTCGTCTACAAAAACCCAGCTCGGCAGTAATATACGTAATTTAAGTTCAATGCTATGGATTTTAGTCAGTCCTGACTGAGTGACCTGGAAAGAGAGAAATACAATTTCTTCCCCATTTCCTGGCGTCTGAACCCAAACAATGAGGATAAGAACACAGGAAAGATAGAAAGTTTTCCAACTGTTTCACAATGCCAACCCTAACGCTAAAATCTACCACAGTAAACACAAAAAACACTTCAGAGCAATCCCATATTGTATAGCTCTACATATTAAAATACCGGTAAATCCAATCTTTTAAAAGAGTAATCCACTAAGGCCCAGTGGGACTTATTTCAGTTGTGCAAAGATAGTTCAATATTAGGTTATCGACATATTTATTACATCATCATGTCCAAGGGGAAAAACCTTCAATCAAAATGTCATTTTGTGCCTAAAACGGAACTTGTTATAATGCGACATCCATTCCTGATTAGCATTTAGTAAACTAAGAATAGAATTCTACATAAAGAAAAAACTGAAAACACTGAAGGATTTCTTCCAAGAAATATGTCAAGTAAAGACAATTTAAAAAGTAAGTTCTTTCAAACTTTTAAGCAAAGATAATTTCCATGCTACATAAATTATTGTTTGGTATCTTTTCTATACAGGATTTATTTTTTCTGTTTATTCTTTTTTTTTTTTTTAAAGATTTTATTTTTTCTTTTTCTCCCCAAAGCCCCCCGGTACATAGCTGTATATTCTTAGTTGTGGGTCCTTCTAGTTGTGGCATGTGGGACGCTGCCTCAGCGTGGTTTGATGAGCAGTGCCATGTCCACGCCCAGGATTCGAACCAAAGAAACACTGGGCCACCTGCAGCGGAGCGAACTTAACCACACGGCCATGGGGCCAGCCCCTCTGGTTATTCTTTTTAATGATTTAGAATGCATGCTTCCTATTTTGAAAAATAGTTGTGGTTACATGCGAAAAATTTAAAACTTAAACATATATTTCTCTATTTATAATTGGAAGACTGAAATGCATCTACTGGCTCCTTCTATTCAAGATGGGAAATTAGCAACCATTTCCTCCAACTCTTTGCTCTCTGTCTTCCTTTCTGCTACTGAGGTAAGCTTCTCCTTTAAGAATTAGGAAAGACATTTTTATGGTTTTATAACCATACTCACAACAATTATTTAGACCTAATTCTACACAGTAATGGTTTGGAAGCTCAATATGACTCCTCTCACACCACAATTTACCCATCTTCAGCTATCCACTGAAATACTCAACAATGAGAAGTATTTTCACAATAGGTAGATGAGCACTATGCATCTCTAGTGCTAACAGACATCCAGCAGAAACTGTTTCTGGGATGTGAGTGGCCTCCTTCCCTAGTTGTGAAAATAACAGCTCTGCCCTATTTTTATATTTTCTTGGTTATTTCAGTAAAATGGGAGTCAGCACTCTGTGTTCAAAGAAATATTTTGCTCCCAAATCTCTACAATTACACTGTATAAGCCTGGTAAAAATTCCTGGTTCGTAATTAATTTCACTTTATAAATATGACAAGTGTTGGGGGAGGGGGAAGCTGAGAGTAACTTACTAGGCCTACTAATAACAAATAATCAAATCTGCAATTTTAATATTCTCAGGCCATTATATTATATGCATCCCACATGTCTCCTAAGTCATAGTTAAAGTAAATCCTGGAGCACAGAAAAACATTACCAAGAGAATACCAAAATTTCAAAATAAGACTCTTGGTGTTACCAAATTATCTAGATGTCCCTCATAATGTGCAATAGCCCTATTGTCAAAAGAGAAAATAACAGGGTTTGAAGACTATCACGTCTCCATCAATGGTGCAAATACCTACCAAACATATACCAACATGGAAGCTTGGCAGATGAAATGAAAGCGGAGCAGCTGAACACATATAAAGTTGAAATTTAACTTTCTTTCCCAGGTCTAAACTCACAGGGAGAAAGGCCTTCTCCAAATCTCACAGATTAGAACAACTTTACTTTTTAACAAGGGGTCATTGGAGAGTTCTGAGCTAAAAGAAGACTATCTGAACCAAAGTGGATTTCCCAACAGCCCAGCTAGGTCCAGACCCAGATCTGAACTCAAATGCATCAGGTGACAATAAAGGGCTAATTCAATGGGAATACATGCTCCCTTGCATTCATCTCACCATAGAGTTTCCAGAAAATTTTGTATCAAGAATTAAATCAAGAAATTCAGGTTCAGTTCATTTGGTACAATACCTTCAACTAGAAGGCAGTATGTTGTCATGACATGTAAACATGAAATAAATTAAGAAATAAATTTACATCAGAGTTCATAGTAGCTTATACACAGTACCCAAAAATGTGGAAACAACTCTAATGCCCACCAACAGGAAAATGGAGAAACAAATTATTGATACATGCAGCAATATGGATGGACCTCAAAATTATACAGAATGAAAGAACCAGAAAAAACAGTACATACTATATCATTCCATTTATACAAAATGTTAGAAAATATGAACTAATCTACAATGGTTGCTTGGGGATGGAGAAGCAAGGAGGAAAGGGAGAGCGGGAGGGATTACAGAGAGCATGCGGAAACTTGTGGAGGTGATGGATATGTTCATTGTCTCAATTATGGTGATGGTACCCCAGACATACACTACGTTAAAATTCATCAAACGTACACATTACATATGTACAGTTTACCATATGTCCATTATACCACAATAAAGGTGGAAAATACATTTAGAAATTTATCGGTATTGCTTCTAAACAATTTCCTTCTATAGTTCACCACTGTAATATTATTTAAACTGATGAAAATTTATGGATTCTGAGAATTTAAGAGCAAACAAAATATGAACATTCAAACAGAAAGAGAAACTTAAAAACAAACCAAAATCTAGAGAATGGAATGAATGCAAATTTAAAAGCATTCATGAAGGAAAAATTAGCATAACTTAGAATGTACTTGCTTCCCAAAACAAGAACCCAAGAATTGTAATAGGAATAAAATCTAAAGGTTGTCAAAACAAAAGGGAGATGATTAAGTCAATTTCATCTTAGTACCTAGCCATACACATTAATAAATGTTTTAAATGATCCCATAGAAAACAACTAATGGAAAAGGGGCTATTTAACCTTAACATTGCCCCAGCAGAGCTTAATTCTAGGCTCTCTTTGAGACAAAACAAAAATTTTTTTAATTCTCAATACCAGAAAGGATGGTCCTCTGCAGGTTAATAGGCAAGCATGTGTGTTTTAGGGCTAACATTTTTCAAAATCTCTAGCATTTTTTTAAATGTAGGTGTTTTATTAGCCAGGATAATATATCTGTTCAATTTTCAAAGTCAAACAGATAGCCACTCTAATGCCAATAATAGTTTAGACATACAATCCTCTGTTGAACGCAATAAACCTAGTATGTAAACTTAACAAGAGTGTGTACTAACAGAAACAAATGCAAATAAGATGCTTCTGAAAATTATGCAAGACAGTTGAATATTTCTTATCCCAACCTAAAATGCATAGCAAATATACAGGAAAACTGGTATAAATGCTGTTGATAGAAAAATTCTACTGAAGGATAGAGGGATAAAAATAATTTAAACTCTAAACACTTTCTAATAGGAAAAACACAAACTTCCAAATGGTCAAATTGTTCTGCTGTTATCCTCTCGTGACACGTAATTATTTCTTTCAGACAACATGAGATTTACTGGCTATAGTACTGATTTGGCGCTTATTGCCAACTACCCCAAAGTGTTAGTTTTCTTATGTTCCTAACAAATAGTACATAAACATAAAAGCTTATTGTCTGATTGACTATGGGTATTGAGAAACACGTATTTCACCACTTATAGGAAATTCCACTTTCTCCAAAATCAAGCAAAAGCCACTCTGATGTAGCACCTTCTTTTCTAGTTTGATACCACGACCTACGAAATATAAGCTTAGTCTCTAAAAAATTTACATCAAGAACAGATGTAACAGTAAGATAATCAAAGGGGAGTATTTCAGTAGAATTTGCATGAGCTTTCTGAATGGCAATGGCAATCAGATTGCAAAAAAGGTGTTATTTTGTTGGCTCACCAGTTGTACTTTTGTTCCAAGGAAGTTCCACCATAAGTTCTAAATAATTTCTAGTCAGAGCATATTCTGGCATTGATTGAGGCATTTTTTTGAGTCTGTGGGAAAAGAATACATAGCAAACATGTTAAAAAAACCCAGAAGAATTCTATAAAAACAAAAAAATCAAGTATATCTCCCTTTCTTGGTCAGATATATCATGCACAGTGGTAAAACAAACCTAAAAACATTTTTAAAAATCCAGTTAATGTTTGTTCTGTTTTGTTTTGTCAGTACAGATGCCTGCAAACTGGGAGGAGGAGTGGGGACACTACCTGCCTTCACCCTTGAAATATGGCCTGAGCAGTGTCAGTACAGCATCTCACAGGGAGAGTCTCAAGTCACAATCACCCATTGATTCACTTACTGCAACAAGATCTAACTGTCTGACCACGCAAAACACAGTAATTATAATTATATATTTTTTGTATTAGAGAGAAAGTCAACGCATAAAAGCAAGCTAACATCAGATATTTAATAAAAAACGCATCTTCCACAAGATATAACAGATGTTCTACATTTATTAACTGATGTCAGAGTCAATATTAAAATATGCCTCAACTATATCTACTAATGTTCCTAACTGAACCACAGAAAGTCAAATCTTTAGTGACTGAGAATTCAATTAGGTTCTTTATAAGTTCACTAATAAAAGAAAATGCAAGAGAGTTATAATGTTACAAGTATATAAAGGAAAAAATGGTTTTCTGTTTAACCCTGAGATTATCCAAAAAATGTAATCAACCCATATATCATATCCTGTCATCAAGGGTTCCCTGTACTTTACCCTGTACAAAGAGAAATGACAGGCCCCGACCTCTAGAGTTACAATCTAAAGAAGCAAACAGTAGATGTGAAGAACACAGCAGAACTGAACAAACATTCTGCCTAAACAAAGTATGGTCCATTCTTTAAGACAACGAAAAGGCAGTTACAACAGTGATCACGCTGGACAGCACATTATAGGTGGGAGAGTTGTATCAGTTCTACTGAGCACTTGAGAAAAAGATGAGTGAAAGTGGTATGAAACCAGGAGTACTAGGAATGTTTGAAGAATCAGATTCTGCTTGAAGAATGAAGAGGGAAAAGCATTCCACAGATCACAGCCATAACCTGAAAATTTGGAAAGCCAAGAAAGATAAGAGTTGACAATGGAAAGACAAGATGAATAGAGTGGTCCAGGACTATATTAAATATAAGAAAAGGAGAGCGATCAAAGAATATAAAACAAACGGCTCAGGTTTCAGTTTGTGATCCAAAGTAGCAGATCCAAGTGTCCATGACCAATAATATTTAACACTAATAAGCAAAATGAAAACACTAATGAATGAATAGCTTCTACAATTTACCTTTTTATCTCTTTGACACAGACTTTATGGGCCTGCTCTGGCATACTGGATGTTCGTATTTTTTTCTCTAGCATGACAATGTCATCATTATCTTCATCCTCATCCTCATCTTCTAAAGTACCTGGAATGTGTGTAATCCTCCGAACAGGGCGTATTGCTATAACCTGAAGTAGAAAGCAGAAGAGTAAAACAGTATGTCAAACTAAATTGAAAATGAAGTGCCTAGCTACACGTAAGGTTATAATTGGTGTTGAATAAATACTTTCATGGCCAGAGTCTAAATCTTTAGAAACTAAAGTTCAGAATGATAGCTAAGAAACACATGTACACACGGACGCAGAAGAACTAAAAAAGCAGACCAACATAAGGCGCACGTGACTCTCTGGTATATGCTCACACTACTATTTGAGAAAAAAAATTCAAGAAACTGGCTACTAGAAATAACGAAACATCTAGGAATTATCTTCCTTTAAGTTGCTACTGCAGCCAATATTTTCTTGATATATATTACTACTTATCATTTGGCAAGTGAATAAATTCCATTTTTCCTCCTACATTAAAAATTTCTCTACTCCCTTTGTCTTCAACATGCAGAAAAGTCTTCTTCCTTTCAAAATATTTTATCTTACCCATGGCCCCTTCCAATCAACTACACACTATTTACCTCCCTTCTTGACATCTTCCGTGCTTCCAACAAGTGGCTTTAACTACCACTTCCCCTTCCTCAGCAATTACTTCAGGAATTTGTGCTTTGTACTTTGGCTTTTGTCTCCATCTTGAAGTTTTCTTTGAAATCCAACAACTGTCTCCTGTGCCAAGTCAATGGTCTTGTTTCTGTTCTCTTTCTCCACGATCTATCAAATTTTAAAACTACCTAAGTGCTCTTTTGAAATTCTCAATCATGAGTCAACTCCAGCCATTACTGGAGCAAAATGATATACTGGTACTTAATTTAAAGGCCTCAGATTTTATTTTTTTAACCTACATAGTTACCTACTTAGTACATTCAAATATAAAAAGTAAAAACATAAAGCAGTATATAAAAATGTAATTTTATAAAAACAACTATTAAATATAAACTTTTATTCTTACATCAGTCATTAGCAGACAAAATTAATCAAACACTTTGAAGTATGAAAAACTGAAACTGAAATTTTTTTTTAAGTGAGATTTAAAAGGACATATCAATGATTTCATTGTTGAGACAAAAGTACTGTTTCATGCAATTTTCCCTAGCTGCTACAAGAGCGCTTTTCAACTCTTAGGGAAACAGGCAAAGTGACAGTTTTAGGCTAACTCCAAATATTATCCTCTGATTCCTGCATTTCCAAATAATAGTTTGAGAATTTTCTGGAGCAACTGTGAACAATTTTCTTTTTAAGCAGCTGCAGTTTTCTGCATCTCCCAATGCACAGGATGCATGGGTTTGTCTGTAGGCACCAAATGAATACCCGAATTAATGATCTCATCTCAAGCCAGAAATAATTCAGATTTCTGGCATCCCTTGAAAGAGAACTATGTCCTGGAATAGGGAACCCAGACAGGCTACTCCTCTCTCGCATCATTCTCCTCAGCCTGCTTTACTGCTCCCTCTTTTGTCCCACCAGGGAAGAAGCCTTCATTTCTGCTCTTCTTTCTCTAGAACATGTCCTTTGTTAAAGGATCACTGCTGTGCTGAGGACCATCAACTCTTTACAATTATTCTCAACCTTTCACTTCATCTCCCATAGCCTCTGGATCTCCAAGAGCCCTCAGAACTGTCAGTTTCACTCTTGCCCACATCAAACACAACTTCCTGATGTTCACTCTGCCCATACGGAACAAGAGGAACGTCAACAGCTCAAGGTAGACTTCAGACAGGCCCCTCACCTGCATGGATGGAAAGCATGAGAATGAAGGCATCACAAATCACCGGGGAACGGAGGGGTTACTGAACAATGGAAATTCAACTGCTATCTTCACCTCATTAACAAGGCAAAACAAATTACATATGGGGTAAACAGTACATACTTTTTAAAAAGTCAACTAAAGGAAAACTAAAAAGAAAGTGGGTATTTATCAAATCACTGAAGGTAAAAGACTCTAAGCTTAGAAGACAGGAAAAGACTGACAGTTTGACTAAAAAGAAAATAGGAATTTATACAAGTTAAAAATAAAAACCAGCCAAATCACAGTAAAACATACTGACACAGTCCTTTTAGGAAACAATTTTGTAGTATGTTCTTAATACTACATACAGTAAAAAAAAAAAGTTATACTCAAAGACACTTATAGCAGTTGTTTGCTAATTTTAAAACACTGAAAACAAGAGACAATGTTTGGCAAAAAGAGAAATGGCTTAGCAAATTATCCCTTTCGATGATTATCAAAACAAAAACAATGAAAAATGTTTCCATGGATTAAAAAATAATAATAATAAAAGATCCAGGCATGGAAAGGACTAGAAGGAAACATACAGAAATTCAAAATTTTATCAGTAACATGAGTGGTAACAAACAATGAAATTTTTTCTTCTTTGTTCCTTTCTTTAATCTCTCAATTTTTTTTTCTTCAAAAAATTGAATCTCACATCACATAAACACAACTGGGAACCTGAAGAAATGGGTTAAAAGAAATATTTACCCTCTTATCATCATCTTGCTTGTGTTTTCTGGTTTTCTGAAGCAATTTCAGGCCTTCAATTTGTCTGACAAGCAGTGGTATGGTCATCTTGAAGCGCTCCTCCAGACTCACAGCATCTAAAATCTAAGGAAATGAGAGTCCATTAGCAGAGCCACACTCTCTCAGAAACACATGCTCCAAAAACAAGGCAGCCAGAGTCACAACTTAAATTGTTAAATAAAAGACAACCCTTATCAGTATTCACAGCTACACAATGGCTAACACAACCAAATTAACTATATTACATCAGCAAGGTCGTTTGACACGAATACCAGAATCCTAAAAAAGACAAGAATAAAGTAACTTGAGTTTTCATTTCAAAATGCAGCTGCGTGCATTGTTCTAAGAACAGGAACAAAACACATGTTTTACGTCAACTCTTTCTGGGCATTATTCTTGTAAAGTCCAGAATGTGTCTACATATTAGGTTGAAACACATTCTAGGTTCAAAATATTAAACTTTTACACATATAAGAGAATAGGAGCACTTTTAACTAACCTCCACTACTGATGTGTCTGAGTAACTAATCTCTCCATTCCCTCAGTAAAACATACTAATGCCCACAGCCAGGTTACTCTCTGGTACTCCTGCACTCTTCTGCTCCTAACAATTGAACTGAATTCTAGTGTTTATACCCAACCTGCTTGTATTCGTTGCACCTGCTATTACAATTGTTGGATTTAGGTATTAAACAAACTGACAAAATAAGGGAGTTTGTTTCAATGAAAACTAACTTGCATGTTCTAGGAAGATTCAATAAAGCAGATTGTTTAAAAATACTATAAAAATAATTGTTCAAGAAAACTTTCAGAGTTTGAGGAAAGACATGCAAATCTAAGATTCTGCTCCTGAATTATTTTTCAAGTGTCTTAGAAACTCATTTCACTTTAAAGAAATAGAAAGTGAAAATCATAGATAATGCATCGTAGCTGTGGCTTATGTAAGAAAAGTCATGAAGAATTCTAATGAAGCAGGGAAAGGTCATGGCTCCACATGTTTGAAACATAGTGAGACAAAGTGTATTTATATTATGTTAAATATTTACCATTTTTGTCATTCTCTACTTTACCTTTTTCCACAAATTGACAAACTACTAATACTGAATATGTAAATAAAAAGCTGCTTGAGTATACGAATATTTAAAGTGATCACCACTAAAAGTCAACTTAAGTGTAAAAGCATTTTAACTACATTTGCGAGTCTCCACTGTCTCTTACCTGAAGGTCAGAATTTAGTATCTGAGTCCAAATAAAAAGTGACAAAGCGACACGGCATTCGGGAAGGGAACACTGTACCTGCAGCTTCTCTTTGTTGCTGGTTCGGATGATTGACGTCAGAATGTCCGGCAGAGCTTCCCGTGGAAGACTATCTAAAAGACGCCTCAACTTAGCAACTGCAGGGACAGACATATCCAACATCTCCACCAACTACGAGGAAAAAAGTGCTTTTAATAAAATCTGGCATCATTCATGAATTAAAACTCCTACTGCCTTATAGTTTAATGTCTGGGCTTCAGAGTCTTTGTTTTTGAAAGATCACTGATTATTATAGCCAGGCATTCTATGGGCCTCACAGGAAAACAGAAGTACTTTCAAAATATCACTCAGAATGAAAAGCAAAAATGGCTCAAACGTGAATAACACTAATGTTTATAAAAAAAGGCTTTTGTAAAATGTGATTTTATATATTTTTCAATGTTATTCTAAAGAGAACTGTAAAATATATCTTTCCCCTAAATTCACCAACTGTTAACATTTCGCCACATTTGCTTTCTTTTTCTGTCTCTACACACACACACCCCTCCCCACATACATACTATTATTGTCGAACATTTTAGGTTAAGTTGCAGACATCATGCTTCTTGTTCTTAAGAACAAGGGAATTCTCTTACATAACCAGTGTAATTAGCAAATTCTGGAAATTTAGCACAGTTGATGCTATTATGTTAATCAATAAATAGTTGAAATACTGTTTTTCAGTAGAACATTTGGATTATCTAGAATCTGAGTATCGACTGTGAATGACTTTTATAAAAACAACTTCCAGGGTATATCCTGGACTACAAATAGATTAAGCTCAAGGCAAGCTTTCAGGAACTGTAATAGACATTAGGGCTGTTGACAAAGACTCCCCTCTTCTTTTGGGCACATGGTAAAACCACTCTTTCTCACCTCCTCTGAATACACATGTGACCATGAGTCTTGCCTTGCCTTGATTCATGAAACGTGAGGAGATATGACAGTTCATTCTGGGGAAAAGCATTAAAAGCCATTAAGAGATTTGCTACATTTCTTTTTCCTGCCTCAGCAATATGGAAGCAAGTTCTGAGACAAATCTAATCCTCCAGGGTCCCTAAGGGCACTCTAACAGGCAGATCACCACACCCACTAGTTTTAGGCATGAACCATAAGTAAGAAATACATCTTTATCATGCTATCCAGTACTTAACACAGCAAAACTCAACCTACACTAATTCACAAATGATGAGCGAATCCCTCATTTAGTCACTCTAATAAGATTTCATATGCCAGTAATAATCAAACCTCTCAAAAGCGCCATAATTTAAGAACCTATCCATCACCTGCCTAGAGTCAAGGGGATTAAAGCATAATTATGATGAAGCTTTTCAGGAGGGAGAAATAGACAATAAAATCTGAAGCGTCTTTCTCCTAGGAATTCAACCTAAGAAAATAAAACAGTTGAAACTCATTCTCCAAGCACTTATTAATATGAACTATTTGTAGGACACAAGATGCTGCTCAGAACAAGATGGCTAAAGCAGGGATGAATTCAAGTTTGGTAGGGGAAACAGCCCTACAAGATAAATTTCAATACTAGGTGATAAGCATTATATTAAAAGGGACGTATAAGGGATCCTGGAGACACAGGCAAAGGACCACTAAGAGCCTATGAGAGTTGAGAAAGCATAAATCGAATGTGAAAATTCAGAGAAGGAATAACCCTCCCAGCAGAGAGAAGAGAAGGCAAAATTATAGCAACAGGAAATAACAAGATGTGAGGCTCTTTGCCGTACAGCATGGCTAGAACTATGGGTATAAATGGGAGCAAACAGAGTTGTGAAGAGCTCGAATGATATACTGAGAAATTTGAACTTTATCCTACAGCCATTAAAGTCTTTTACTTAGGCAAGGGGCCTGCCCAAAACTTATTTAGAAACACTAGTGAACAGGATAGCTCAGAGAGAAAGGAAACAAGAAGGAGATCAGCTAGGAAGCTACTGAAGAAGTCTACTGATGAGGGCTCTAGAAGGAAATGTAGAAGGGGATGAAAGCAAAGCATCAATTGGACATAATCCTAACGTCTAAAAAGAGGAAGGATAAAATTATAATATCCCAACTCAAGGAAATTTATAAAAGCACTATGAAAATTAGACATGGACATGAAGACAAAACCTAAGACTGAATATGGACCAAGTCCAGAAGACCAGCAAAAATTAAATTAGATGCATAATGGAAGTAAAATTATGGTGATGTTTCTCTCTAAAAATTCCTTTAATGTCATGACAAAATCTTTACATGTTTAAAATTTTTCTGTTGATTCAAAGTAGGGAGAAGTAAAGAGCAGAGTGAAAGAAGCTATGAAGCTGTGTCCAATAGAAGAACAAGACCCAGGGAGCATAACCCAGGAAAAGGAAGAGAAATTCTATATCTCCTTCTGCATTCCTAAATAGTATAATCACCTATTCCACTTCTGAAACAGAAGTTTCTTTCTTCAGACTAAGTTCCTCCTTTCAGTCCCACAGAAGCTATAGCTCCAAATTTTCTATTTTTCTACTGTTGTTCACCACTCTAGAAGTATGTCACTTCAAATGTCACGGGGGACAAATACCAGACGTTGTGAACACTTACTCTACACACTTTTTAATGATCAATGGTGTTTAAAATCAAGACCTTTAGGAGTGACATCAGCAACATGGCAGAGTTAGCTCACCCGGGACTCCCTCCCTTCCAAATTACAACCAAAATGAGCAACTGCTTTCCAACCAAAAAAAAATCCTAATAACACAGAAATCATCAGAGACCCACAGCAGCCAAACAAAAGAGGGCGGAGAGGCTGGAGCGGCACTCAGAGGAGCTGGAACAGGGTAAGAGAGAACTTCACTCCCTCCCCTAGAGACTGGGATGGCTGCCACCGGTGAAGGAAGGAGTGGGGGAGGGGCCAGGTGACCGCAGGATCGTCCTGAACTCCCACCACCCATGCAGCAGAAACTCTCTAACGGGGGAAAGCTTTTGCATGGGGGAACCCCATCAAGCCAGGGCTCCGGGAGACCAGAGAGTGAGAGCTGATTAGACTCCAGGTCTGCATGTGAGAGAAAGTGCCCCTCCTCCCCCAACCCGCACGGTGCGCTACCATAGTGGCTGAAGGTGGAAGGCTCAGAACACAAGGCTCTCGACCTCCTTCTAGTGGCGACAGGCTGTAACTGCAACCGAATAATAGAATCATGTGCAAAAACCGCTCCTCTACCATCCGGCAATTTATAAAAGCTCCAGATCAGAAGGAAGACAATAAAAACACACAATTAAGTCCTGAAGACTTGGAAATGGGTAAACTAAGTGACAATGAATTCAGAAGAGCTAACATCAAAAAACTCAATGAGGTAAAGGGAAACAGAGAAACAAATCAACGAGTTCTGGAGTTATTTCACAAAAGAGATAGAAACTATAAAGAAGAATTAACCAGAAATACTAGAGATAGAAAATACAATGGATCAGATAAAACAGAATATGGATTCCCTGAATGCCCGTGTAGATACCATAGAGGAGCAAATCAGCATAATCGAAGATAGACAGGCTGAATGGCTCCAGACAGAGGAAGAAAGAGAAGTAAGAATTAAAAAACTGAAAAAAACCTCTGAGAAATAGTGGACTCAATGAGAAAAATGCAACTTAAGAATAATCAGAATTTCTGAGGGCGTGGAAAAGGAAAAGGGAGCAGAAAGTGTGCGCAACAACATAATAGCAGAGAACTTCCCAAATCTAGGGATTGAGCGAGAAGTGTGTGTGGAGGAAGCTTTCGGATCTCCTAGATGTGTCAATGTAAAAAGACCTACTGCAAGGAATATAGGAGTAAAACTGGCAAAAATGAATGACAAAGAAAGAATACTCAGGGCAGCAAGACAGAAGAAAATAACCTACAAAGGAACCCCTATCAGACTTCCAGCGGATTTCTCTACAGAAACCTTACAAGGTAGGAGACACTGGAATGACATATTCAACACTGTAGAGGATAAAAATCTTCAGCCAAGAGTACTCTAGCCAGCAAAAATATCCTTCAGATATGAGGGAGAAATTAAATCTTTTCCAGACAAACAAAAGCTAAGGGACTTTGTAACCAAAAGTCCTCCACAACAAGAAATCCTCAAGAAGGCTCTCATACCTGAAAAAGAAAAAAAGGGAGAAAAGGGTCACAAAACAGAGAGTAGGGAGACAGATAGAATCAGAATAGGACAGCAAATATTCAACTATAGCATTAGGATAAAGGGAAGGAAATCACCAAAGTAAAGTCAATCTTATCACTCTAACCACAAACTCACAACACAAGTTGGAATAAGAGATGAAAATAAATATTTAGGAGGGGAGGAGGAAAGGGACTGAATCAGTTTAGGCTAAGGTAGTAAGAGACAACCAGAAAATGGACTATGTTATGCACGAGTTTCTGAACACAAACTTCAGGGTAACCACTAAACTAAAAAACAGAACAGAGACACAAAACATAAATAAGGAAAAACCTACGAAACCCAGCATGAGAAATTGCAGAAGTCGATGGGTAGTCTAAAACACACAGGACAAGAAACAAAGAACACACAGGAAAACTGGAAAACGAGCGACAGAATGACAGCATTAAGTCCACATGCATCAATAATCACCCTCAATGTAAACGGATTGAACTCTCCAATAAAAAGACACAGAATGGCAAAATGGAGTAAAGAACAAGATCCACCAATTTGTTGCCTCCAGTAAACACACCTCAGTTCTCAGGACAAATGCAGGCTCAGAGTGAAGAGGTGGAAGACAATATTCCAAGCTAAGAGAAAACAAAAGAAAGCAGGTGTCGCAATACTCATATCAGACAAAACAAACTTCAAGATACAGCAGGTAAAGACAGACATAGAGGGACAATATATAATGATCAAAGGGACACTTCATCAGGAAGAAATAACGCTTATAAATATCTATGCACCCAACACAGGAGCACCAAAGTTCATAACACAACTATTAACAAACCTAAAAGAAGATATCAAAAATAACACAATGATACTAGGGGACCTCAACACCCCACTCACATCAATGGACAGATCATCCAGACAGAAAATCAACAACGAAACAGTGGAATTAAATGAAAAGCTAAACCAGATGGACTTCATAGACATACATAGAACACCTCATGCCAAAACAGCAGAATACACATTCTTCTCAAGCACACATGGAACATTCTCAAGGATAGACCATATGTTGGGAAACAAGGCAAGCCTCTACAAATTAAAAAAAATTGAAATAATAACAAGCATCTTCTCCAATCATAATGCTATAAAGCTAGAAATTAATTACAAGAAAAAAGCTGAGAAAGGCACAAAGATGCGGAGACTAAACAATATGCTATTGAACAAGCAATGGATCATTGAAGAAATTAAAGAAATCAAAAAATACCTGGAGACAAATGAAAATGATAATATGCCATACCAACTCATATGGGATACAGCAAAAGCTGTATTAAGAGGAAAATTCAGCACAATACAGACATCTCTTAACAAACAAGAAAAATCCCAAATAAGCAATCTTAAACTACACCTAACTGAATTAGAGAAAGAAGAACAAAGTCCAAAGTCAGCAGAAGGAGAGAAATAATAAAAATCAGAACAGAAATAAATGCTATTGAAACAAAAAAGGCAGTAGAAAGGATCAATTAAACAAAGAACTGGTTCTTTGAGAAGATAAATAAAATTGAGGAACCCCTAGCCAGACTTACAAAGAAAAAAAGAGAGAAAGCTCAAATAAACAAAACAAGAAATGAAAGAGAAACAACAACAGACTCCGCAGAAATACAACAGATTATAAGAGAATACTATGAAAAACTCTATGCCAACAAAATGGATAACCTAGAGGAAATGGATAAATTCTTGGACTCCTATGATCTCCCAAAGCTTAGTCAAAAAGAAGCAGTCACTTTGAACAGACCAATCACAAGGAAAGAGACTGAAATAGCAATCAAAAGCATCCCAAAGAATAAAACCCCAGGACCAGATGGCTTTCCTGGGGAATTCTACCAAACTTTCAGAGAGGATTTAATACCTATCCTTTTCAAGCTATTCCAAAAAATTAGGGAGGATGGAACACTTCCTAACACATTCTATGAGGCCAACATCACGCTGATACCAAACCCTGACAAGGACAGCACGAAAAAGGAGAACTACAGGCCAATATCGCTGATGAACATAGATGCAAAAATTCTCAACAAAATTTTGGCAACACGAATACAGCAATTCATCAAAAGGATCATACATCATGACCAAGTGGGATTCATACCAGGGACACAGGGATGGTTCAACATCGCAAATCAATCAAGGTGATACACCACATCAACAAACTGAGGAATAAAAACCACATGATCATCTCAATAGATGCAGAGAAAGAATTTGACAAGATCCAACAGCCATTTATGATAAAAACTCTGAACAAAATGGGGATAGAAGGAAACTACCTCAACATAATAAAGGCCATATATGACAAACCCACAGCCAACAGCACACTCAATGGGCAAAAACTGAGCGTCATCCCCCTGAGAACAGGAACGAGACAAGGATGCCCTCTATCACCACTCTTATTTAACATAGTACTGGAGGTCCTGGCCAGAGCAATCAGGCAAGAAAAAGGAATAAAAGGAATCCAAATGGGGGGAAGAAGTGAAATTCTCGCTGTTTGCAGATGACATGATCTTATATATAGAAAACCCCAAAGAATTCATTGGAAAACTTTTAGAAGTAATCAACAACTACAGCAAAGTTGCAGGGTACAAAATCAATTTGCATAAATCAGTAGCATTTCTATACTCTAATGACGAACTAACAGAAAAAGAACTCAAGAACACAATACCATTCACAATTGCAACCAAAAGAATAAAATACCTTGGGGTGAATTTACCTAAGGAAGTGAAAGACCTATACAACGAAAATTACAAGGCTTTTCTGAAAGAAATAGATGACGACATAAAGAGATGGAAAGACATTCCATGTAGATGGATTGGAAGAATAAACATAGTAAAAATGTCCATTCTACCTAAAGCAATCTACAGATTCAATGCCATCCCAATCAGAATCCCAATGACATTCTTTACAGAAATAGAACAAGGAATCCTAAAATTCATATGGGGCAACAAAAGACCCCAAACTGCTACAGCAATCCTGAGAAAAAAGAACAAAGCTGCAGGCATCACGATCCCTGACTTCAAAACATACTACAAAGCTACAGTAATCAAAACAGCATGGTACTGGTATAAAAACAGGTGCACAGATCAATGGAACAGAACGGAAAGCCCAGAAATAAAACCACACATCTATGGACAGCTAATCTTCGACAAGGAGGTAAGGGCATACAATGGAGAAAAGAAAGTCTTTTAACAAATGGTGCTGGGAAAACTGGAAAGCCACATGGAAAAGAATGAAAATTGACCATTCTTTTTCACCATTCACCAAAATAAACTCAAAATGGATCAAAGACCTAAAGCTGAGACCTGAAACCATAAGGCTTCTGGAAGAAAACGTAGGCAGTACACTCTTTGACATCAGTATTAAAAGGACCTTTTTGGACACCATGTCTTCTCAGACAAGGGAGACAATAGAAAGAATAAACAAATGGGACTTCATCAGACTAAAGAGCTTCTTCAAGGCAAAGGAAAACAGGATTGAAACAAAAAAATAACCCACTGAGAAAAAATATTTGCAAGTCATACATCCGACAAAGGCTTAATAGCCATAATATATAAAGAACTCACACAACTCAACAACAAAAAAATCAAACAACCTGATAAAAAAATGGGCAGCAGACATGAACAGACATTTCTCCAAAGAAGATATACAGACGGCCAACAGGCACATGAAAAGATGTTCATCATCACTGTGCATCAGGGAAATGCAAATCAAAACTACACTAAGATATCACCTTACACCCATTAGAATGACAAAAATAACTAAAACAAATAGTAACAAATGTTGGAGAGGTTGTGGAGAAAAAGGAACCCTCAGACACTGCTGGTGGGAATGCAAACTGGTGCAGCCACTATGGAAAACAGTATGGAGATTCCTCAAAAAATTAAAAATAGAAATACCATACGATGCAGCCATCCCACTACTGGGTATCTATCCAAAGAGCTTGAAGTCAGCAATTCCAAAAGTCCCATGCACCCCTATGTTCATTGCAGCATTATTTATAATAGCCAAGACATGGAAGCAACCTAAGTGCCCATCAACAGATGATTGGATAAAGAAGATGTGGTATATATATACAATGGAATACTACCCAGCCATAAAAAAATAACAAAATTGTCCCATTTGCAACAGCATGGGTGGACCTTGAGGGAATTATGTTAAGTGAAATAAGCCAGATAGAGAAGGATGATCTCTGTATGACTCCACTTATATGAGGAATTTAAAAATGTAGACAGAGAACAGATTAGTGGCTACCAGGGGAAAGGTGGGCTGAGGGGTGGGCACAAAGGGTCAAGGGGTGCACCTACAACACGACTGACAGACAATAATGTACAACTGAAATTTCACCAGATTGTAATCTATCATTAACTCAATAAAAATTAAATTAAAAAAAAAGAAGACCTTTAGACACTGCCTGATCCTCACAGATCTAGTTCTAGACTACAGCAATAGAAAATAGAAGACTATGTTTTATAACGTATTTCAATAAGGTTTGAAACCGTCAGTAAGGAGAGGCGCTTTCTGTTCAATCTAGAGTTAACAAAAAAGTCAAACCCAGAATTAAGCAGTCAAATATTTAACGCATGCCCAACGTGTGCTTCCCTCCCCTCACTCCAGTTGACCAAGGCTTCAACCAAACTTGAAATCAGTCTACCATGGGCTTGACCTTCCTTGCTTACTGCCAGTCACAGTGTGACCTTGACTTCTGAACCAACATAACTTACATAATTTGGTGCCTAGATATTCTAGTGACAAATAGCTTCTGTGCAGTATTTTAACTTTTAACATTACTTAAGTTTAATAATTATATGGTTTGGAGACACCAGAAGTTACAATGAAAGGTGTAGAAACACTCTTTGGAAAAATTTTAGAAAGTGTTGGCTAATGTCTTAGAATGATTTAGGTACAATCTTAGGGAAAAGCACACTGAAATTAATATATTAGAACATATTACTAAGTCATTTAAACATACACTACCCTAAAATTTCACCAATCAACAAATCCATCATATCTTAGGGCAGCAAAGGAAGCAAAGAAAATGGGGTTTTAAGGAAGAAATAAAAGCGACTCACTTGTACTGCATATTTGTAAAACTGCTCTGAGAGTTCTCCCAGCTCCTCCCTAGTCTTACAGGTGTTGGGAAATTCTTCAAGCCGGTCCAACTGCTCCACTTCAGCGACAGGATACGGCTTCTCTTTTAAGACCTGTACAATCTGGAACCGGCACAGGCCTGTAATCAGCAGAGTATAGTGGGGCTTAGGCCAGTTACTGCCCACAACCTGAACTGCCAGGGCAGCCGTCCCAATCCTGAAACACACACAAAACATGAGTGTTACAAACGTTCAATACGCTAGCAAAGAAACCTGCCTCAAAAACGTGTTGCCATTTCTGAGAAATTCATTTAAAAACAAAGAACATCTAAACTGTAAATGAATTATTTCTCTAATTTAGCCCCCAGTACATGGTCTATCAAGTCACTACCATCAGCTGTGGGGCAAAGCAGGCCATCTCATTCTAATCAGCACCACCTTTAAGAATTAGGCAGAAATTCCTAAACATTTGGATTATTTAAGCATAAAAACGTAAAAGTAGTCGACAATTAGAAAGCTTAAATTAATTCTGCCAACTAGGAATGAGGCAATCTTACAGCAGAACAAATATTGGCATTTTAAACATTTAAATATAAACAGCATGATGTAACCCAACCTAAGACATCTCTGTTCCACTACCAGTTCTGCTACTAACATCAAGAGGGGATCTCGACACAATCTATAAAACTTCTACACATCCACCTTATCACAAACTGCCGTCCATTCCGGGAATTAGCACAGATGCCCTTGAATACTGAAGTTCTAAGTGTGGGGCTAAATATTCGAGGCCACACATTGGCATGGACTGAGGAGAAAGACCTGCACCTCCAGAAGTTAAAGCTCGCTCTCTTCTAAGCCGTAATCACCTCAGCTGATAGGAGCTGGGCAAGTCATGCTTTATTTGAGCCTTGGCTCCTTATCAGAACATACAGTTCTGACCAAGTCACATATAAATTTCATTCACACTAAGGAAGTCTCATCCAAACTAAGCCAAAGTTATACCAAACAGAAAGATCGACATTCAGAGGACACTTCCAGATCCCAAAGTAAACATGTTCTCCCCTCAGCCAGAGGAAGGGCTGTAATTTCAGAGCAGAAACTAGAATTAAAATGCCTATGGCTCTCAACAGCCTGGGAACAGTAATAGTACAGTACTGCACTTGCCCATCTCCAACGTCCTGGGTGACATACAAATACAGCAGGTGAACGTTTTAGCGAATTTGTTTACTTCTATATGCAGTTGATTCTTGATTACTTGCTTATAAACTACTCATTCTGCAGACTACGTGTAGCCTTCGGCTGCCCTCTACCACTCAGTTTATTCCGAGCTATGTCCATCTCTCCTCCCCACCTTTCTAGTTCTATCACGTGTACAGGGGGTAAAAATGGATTTAAACCACAACTGAAACCAAAAAATTAGGAAGATAATTGGGTGGGGAGAAAAACCATCAGATACTTTAAAAACTTGAAGCCACTTGGCAATTATCTACTCTTTTGAGTTATTTGTGTTTTGGGTACTTTTCTTCAGTCATTAAGAGTAGTAGGTTCTACCTCCCGTTTCCTGAAAACCAACTCTGATGGCCTGAAAGAGTCAGCAATACCTAAATTGATCAGAGACCAACTAAGACTATAATCCACTGCCTAAGCTTATACAATGCAGAAAGAATTCACAGCTGTGTCTACAAGAAACACCAACAGACAAGAAACCGGATCCCTGCCCGAAGGAGTTTACAAACCAGAAAGCAAGGAGAAACCAGAGACAGAGATGAGACAAATCCAAACCACCAGGTTAGGAGACAAATTTAATGACTCGGGCTACGTAACTGATCAAAGATGAGACTAAAAATGAGGTTTTTTTACAAAGCAAATAAAATACTTTTGTTAACTGAAAGGAAGATGTTCCAAACTGAGAAGAGATTAATACTATGACAATCCTAATTAGAAAAATAAAGGTTTTAAATATGCCAATTAGTTCTTACTTTAAACCACTCCTAGTTGACTAGAATGTACCCTTTCTAAAAGAAAACCCCACAATTTGTGAAACAATAGAAGGCCAGAAACAAGAGTACCGGGTGAAACACATTTTGGGTGAAAAGCTCTGTGAAAAAGGACCATGTTTAACGTTATTTTAGACAATTTCTATTGTATTTTGGGCTCTAGGTTTTACATATAAAAACAGGTATTTAAGTAAGCAAAATATTCAATCAATCTAATACTCTCCCTCTAACGTTGATACATAACAGGCTTTAATATCAAGTTAGTCACCTTTCTAAACATTCTACTTCTATTAATATGTGTCTTACTAGGCATGACCAAAAGCAAACATTTTGATTTTGCAACAGGTCCAAATTTATTCATGCAAATGAGTGGTGTTCTTTCCTTTTTGGTAGTAGCTCTGAAAATCTACACTGTAGTAACTGTGATATTTTACAGTTCAAAGAATTTTTGAAACTCCTAACTGAGATCTACTTTTGGAGCTGTAAAATATTATTTTAATCCAGAGTCTGACTACAATGTGTACCATTTGTGTAATTTGGAAACTGTCTTAGATGGTCTAAGAGTTCCAGAAGTATTTGAGAACAATGGGAAAATCTACAGCAGCACCACTGCAAATAGCAGTTTTCTGAGAGAATATTATGTAAATATGTAATCTCTAGTCTAAACGCCAAGCATTTGCTATATATTTTTACTTTAAAGCTCTCCACTTTTCTTGTAACCCTCCATCTTCCAAGTCCTTTTTGTAATGACGCTAATTCATTCTGCCCATATTGAAAGAATGTGGGGTCCCCCACTCCTCCTCCCAGGCTCCAATTGTGAAATCTACATTTAAAACAACCAACTTGGGGAATAACACCACTAACATATAGGGTTATTGCTTTGCAGTTTACAAAAGGCTTTCCTAAGTATTATTTCATTCTACGCTGCCCTTCACCCCTGTGAGCAAGGCAGCTCTGTCTCCTTATTATAAATGAGTAACAGAATGAGCATAAATGAGTAACCCTTCAAGAAGGGTAAACAGGTTAGTTAGCCATGGTTACAAGGATAGTAAATAGCCATAGGGGACCTGAACTAGGTTTTATGACAAAATTCACTCTTTTCTCACCACAACAGAAAATATGAATTTGTACCTACAAGAAGTAGAAAAACAAACACTTATTACTATAGCTTCTAAATAGCTGAGATCCTGGAAAGCACACCTATTATTTAATATCCAATGTTTACATCCTAATGACACTTAATGAAGCTCTGGAAACAAAAGCTAGACATTGCTGGGGAAGAACCACCAAAACGTCTTTTGAGTTTCTTCTTGGTGTCACTCTACTTATCTTCTTGACTATTTGATGATTTTTGGCAAAGTTTATGATTAATAATGATTGAGAAAGAAGGAAGGACTGTTAGGACAGCCCCAAGTTCCACAATAGGTGAGGCATGGGTGCTACAGGATTGATTTTCACTCCTTTCTTAAAACTTCATTTCTGAATCTAAGAAAGGCCAGTTATAGACAGATCTTCCTTAAAAAGAGTAAATGCAGATTTAGGAAAATCTAAGTAGAGTTACCCATTGGGCACGTGATAAGATTAAATTTGAAAATCTTAGTACTATCAGGTAACATTTTTGAAGCCCTGGGAAGACTAACAGCACAAACAGGAGTAATGCATGGACAAGGGGTTGATCCAAATTACGAAACTGTGTATCTGCTATATATAAAGCATTCATTTCTTGTTAGACAAATGCCAATGAAACTAATTTGAGGTCTCAGAGATGAAGAAAAAGCCAAGAAGAGGCACTGAGAAACCAGAACTATGAGAAATTGAGGCCATGTACCCCAAAGCACAGGTTGGAGGAAGACTGGATGACCATCTTGAAACGCATGAAAGGACGGTGTTCAGGAAGCACTAAATGGTTCCCCATTTCACTAAGAAAACAATGGGTCACCCAGGAGCCACCAGAAATACAGTGCAGTTAGGCAGGGTGTCCTGAGGTGGCATGGGAGCCAAGTTCCGTCCTGCAGGGACAATCCAAAGCTCCTCCTATAAAAAGGTTCCTGTGTCAGGCAACACACCCGAACACTAACATGCAGAAAAGGACTGTGCTGTGCAAAACGGGAAACGAGGTGGTTCAGGTAAGTCAACATCTGGCCCTGCTACTTTGTGTGGCAAAGCATTTCTGCTGCTCCTTGAAGATGAAGCCATCTTCACCCGGATGGTCTAAAGGAGACAGGAGCAGAGGCCTGGCCTTCCCTCTAGGGCACTACTACCATCCGGAAAGCAGGTAACCAACCGGGTAAGGACAGATATCTGAATTGAAAGAGAATAACATTATGGATAACTCAGTATTTGTATTAGTAAAGCTTTCCTTTTTACTTTTTAAGGTAAAGAGTGTTTAAACGTCATATTAGAGAAAAAGGACATTGGAACCTAATACGAAGGAATGCAATACAACCTTTCTATATAGACTTTTCAAGCAGCAAACAGTATTTCTAGGACAAGTAGATGATCTGGAGGGTCCTTACAATGCTGGAATTCTATGAAGAATTTTCAGTGTACATTTCCAACCTTACATGATTAAATGTTAACAGTGCTATTCAAGTAAAAGAAAGGCAGCAATATGAACATCAAGGATCAGATTACACATCATCTGAATATTAGTGATTATTTCCATGCAGCAGAATGTATTTATTGTTGTTTTGGAGGGATTTACATAAAAGAAATTAAAAATCCTCCAAAATCTGGCCAGAGTAACACCAACAAAACACATCAAATGACTACTCAAAAATACAACTAAATCTATTTTTGAAGTTCACAGTGTACCCCTGGGGAAGCACCATACATATGCACAATAGAAACAAAACAAAAAAATCTATCATGAGCACTCTTGCCTCAAGAGGCAACTAAGTGCCTGGGCACAGAAAGCAAAAAATTATGGGAAAAATAAACAGAGGCTTAAGGAGAGGGGTCATATGAAGGGAAATCAGAATCCAACACAATTCGCCAGAGTGTCCTCAAACTTGGAAAGCATCCAATTCCACCCAAGCCATCAGCAAAGCAAATCAGATGGGAGCCTCAATGTTTTCCAAGCTTGAGAAAAGCAAGGCTTTTACTATGCAGACCAGTAATGGACTGTTAGGGGTCTTTTTACTTTATTTTGTTTTAGGAGGGAGGGGAGAGGTCTCAATTTCATTTGAGAACTTGAGGAAAGCTAGAGAGTCTCCTTAAAACAATGTACATAATCACAAAATTTTAGATAAAAATTAGGCATTCCTAATCTTCCCGAAATCCATTCAGAGTGAGGAAGCCCTACCTTTATAAAAGGATAACTGTAGGTGAATGAGGGGCTCTAAACTGAAAACCTCTCAGGAGTTAAGGACAGGAGGCAGGGGCTTGGGAGGTGCGTGTGGAGATAATAACAGCATTTGTTGAGAGCCGACTATATACTAGCATCGTCCAACAGAAATACGTGAGCCACATACCTAATTCTAGTAGCCGCAGCATAAAGTGAAAAGAAACAGAGGAAACGCTAATATTTTATTTAAACCCAAAGAGCCAAAATATTCCATTCCAGCATTTACTCTATACAAAATGTATTCTATACTTCGTACAAAATGTGCTCTATACAAAATGTATTCATCAACAAAACATTCTTCACACTAACCTGCCAAAATCCAATCGGTACTGTACTCCTATAGCACATTTAGGGTGACCACCCTGTTTGTCTGGGACTGAGAGGTTTCCTGGGACATGGGACTCTGCCCAAACCAGGACAGTTTCCGACAAACCGGGACAAAAGTGGTCACTCCAGTCTCTCGACCTGGACGAGCCACATTTCAAGAGCTCTCTAGCACATGTGGCTCGCGGCTGCAGTACTGGACAGCACTACTACGGATAGAGCGGGCGCCAAGCCGATTACACACACTAGTTCATTTAATCCTGTAACACACCTAAGCGACGGATGCTGTCAGCGTCCAAATTACGATGAAGAAAGAAAACAGGCAAGGGTGAAGTCTGTCACCCAAAGTCACACAACTAGGGCCACGGTGTTGTGCAACCTAGTGTGAGCTTGGGGCCTAAGACACGCTAAATAGGACAGAAGGAGCAGCGACAGGGAGGGAGACAAGGGAACATGTGGGCAGGAAAGCCCTCTAGAAGGAAACAGCAGGACCGAGGGGAAGAGAAGGGCGCGCAAGGGGCGCGCAGAAAGGCGCCCGAAGTTAACGCAGCGATGGCGGGACGCGACGGAACGGGGAAGAGGAACGCGCGGGCAGCTCGGGTCTCAGCGAGCGCAGGAAAGGCGGCGCAGGCAGGAGGGCAAGGGACGCGAGCAGGAGGGCCGGTGCGGAGGGCGCCGGCCTGGGGTGCGGAGGCCGGGGCGGCGAGGGCACTTCAGAGAAACCGCGCCCCGCTCCCCGGGGCCGCAGAGGCAGGCGCGGCAGCCAGGCCCGGCCGGCAGGGGCCGCGGCCCACCTGTGCAGCGGCGGCAGGTCCTGCGCGTCGCTGGCCGGGTCGGGCGTGTTGGGGATGACGCCCAGGATGGTGCTCTGCAGCGACGTGCCCTGGAGCAGGCGGCTCCGCACCAGCTGCAGGTTGCGGGCCGAGTCCACGCTGGTGCGCATGGTGGAGCCGGGCAGCAGCACGCCCTCGTGAGTGAGCAGCAGCGGGAGGCGGCTGGGGATCTGGATGGGGCTCACCGACGACATGGCGGCAGCCGCGGGAGCCGGGGCCACACCGCTGCGGCGGCCGCAACCAAGATCCCAGCTGCCGGCGCGCCGCCGCTTCCGGGCTCACGCGCCGCCGCTTCCGGCCCCGCGCTACGGGCCGACCCCGGCCTCACGCGCCGCCGCTTCCGGCCCCGCGCTACGGGCCGCCGCTTCCGGGCTCACGCGCCGCCGCTTCCGGCCCCGCGCTACGGGCCGACCCCGGGCTCACGCGCCGCCGCTTCCGGCCCCGCGCTACGGGCCGCCGCTTCCGGGCTCACGCGCCGCCGCTTCCGGCCCCGCGCTACGGGCCGACCCCGGGCTCACGCGCCGCCGCTTCGCGCCGCCCCTCCCGGAGCTGCCTGGGAAGACGCTGTCGTACATATGCGAAAAGAGGCGCTCTGCTGCCCGCTGGGACCTTCCCTTCTCCAGGCCTGCTCCTCTGCTTTCTCCTGAGGTTCACTCACAGAGCAGTCCCCTACTTTGTGTTCACAAGGATGATCATATTTGAATTATATCCACCTGAAATGCTTTTAACTTTTCATTCGAATCGATGTTAGATTTTCAAAAATGTTGCAAAAGTATAATAGCCTTCTCAGCTGCCCATCGTCTTACATAATCACTTATAATTGTAACAACCAGGAAATTAACACTGTTGTCTAGTCTATAGAGCACACCTAGATGCCAGTTTTCTCATTAATGTCGTTTTTTCTGGTCCGGGATCCCACTTTACATATAGTTGTGCTGTCTTCTCAGTAATAGTTTTTGTTTGTTTAAAGATTAGCACCTGAGCTAACAACTGTTGCCAATCTTCTTTTTTTTCTCCCCAAAGCCCCCCAGTACACAGTTGTACATTTTCAGTTGTGGGTCCTTCTGGTTGTGGCATGTGGGACGCCACCTCAGCATGGCCTGATGAGCGGTGCCATGATCTCGCCCGGTATCCGAACCGGTGAAACCCTGGGCCCCCGAAGCGGAGCGCACAAACTTAACCACTGGGCCACAGGGCTGGCCCCTCAATAATTGTTTTGTTTTTTTCTAACCTTGGTATTTCAAGGAATACTGGTCCATTATTTTGTAGAATGTCCCTCAGTTTGGGTTCATGTGATGTTTTCTCAAGCTTAACCTATACATTTTTGGCAGGAAGACCGCAGAGATGGTGTGGCCTTCTTAGTGACACGTGATAGCTGAATGACTTAGTGATGGCCATTTTGACCTTGAGTACTTGGTGAAGGTGGTAGGTGCCAGATTTCTCCACTGTAAATTACTACTTCCGTCTATATAAGTAATAAGTATTTTGTGGGGAGCTAATTCTACATTAATTAATTTGGAATTCTGTAAGAAGAAGCTGTCCCATCTCTCTCATTTATTTACTTATTCAATTTTTTTATGTTAGTATGGATTCATGGACATTTTTTTTTTGTGGATTGTAACCCAATAATATCATGTATTTTGCTGCCTGAAGTTTCGCATTTGGCCATTGGGGGTCCTGTCACATTGGAATTTGACTTGGGTTTGGCTGTAGCTGGCAGAGGGAAAATTTTTCCCAAATGTGAAGTCCAGCAACGCTCTCAGAATCCAGGAGGGAACTGAAAATCCATTCAAGTCAACAAGCATGCATTGAAGGACTGCTAGGTGCAAGGTCTTGGGCTAGCTGTGGAGGGGTAGAGAGCATTACACAAGGCAGCATCCTACCCTCACCGTCTCCGGGCCAGGGGACAGTCTCGGAGATGGCTGAGTCTGATACAGGACAGATGGAGCCGTGTTTGTGTGTGTGCAGCAGATAAGGGAATGGAGAAGGCGGGTGTCCTAGCTGCTGCAGTGGAGGGACAGGGACTTGGAAACGTTCACCCAAAGCTCTTTCTCTGACATGACTGCACCTTCTTTCATTTATTCACTAGACAAATACTTTTTGAATACCTACTAGGTACTGAATCTTACTTTAGGTGCTGGGGATGCGTCAGTGAACAAGACAGACAAGGTTCCTGCTTTCATGGAGCTGACATTCTAGTGCACAAAACAAACAATGAGGAAGGAAAATAATTTTGGATAGTGATCAGTTCTTTAGATGGTCAGAGGTGGCCTTGCTGAAGAGATGACCACTGAACTGAGCCCTGCACTATGAGGAGGCAGCAATGCAAAGATCAGGGGTGGGGCGGAGGGGACAGTATTCCAGGCAGAAGAAGCAACAATTGCAAAGACTTTGTGGCTTGAATGAATTTAGGATGTTTGAGGAACCTGTTCCTGGAATTTGCTGAGCTTGGGCCCAGTGGCACTGAGGAGGAAGAGAAGTAGGCAGGGTCAGGTTAGAGAGGGTACGAGGCCCTGGTAAGGAGCTGGGGTCTTATTCTGGGCCTGATGCAAGCCATTGGTGATTTCAAGTTGTGGAATAAGTTTTCTGGCTTATGTTTTCAGAAGATCATTTCAGCAACTGGTAGAGAATGGAATGTGAGGGTTTAAGGTCAGAAGCAGGGCAGCCAGTTAGGAGGTGGTGAGGATGCCCAGGCAAGAGGTGATGATAATTTAGACTAGAAGCAGAGGAGTCAAGCTATGTTTGAATGTAGCTTCAACAGAATAGGCTGCTGGATTGGACATATCGAGTGAAGGAAAAACAGTTGTCAAGGATATCTCCTAGGTTGGGACCAGAGCCTCTGGGGCCTAGAGAGGAGTTCAGCTGATAGCTGAATATCCCGGATACAATCAGCAAGCTCTGATCACTTCTCTGGGTGTATACTGTGTACACTACCCTGTGGTAGACTCTGGGGGTGATCCAGAGATAAAATATGCAAGGCACAGCTCCAGAGGAGCTTACCTTTGCATCAGGACCTCTCCAAGGCCAAGGAGGGATGAGCTCCATTTTCTGAGGCTATTTTAACAAGGAACTTCAAAAACCGTCTTATAAACTTTCCAGTATATTTTTTAAACACTTATGTTTAATGCTTTTAACATACACACACAGACACCTAACAACAACAGACAACATAAGTATTCTACTCACATAAGAAGGGCTGGATTTGTTTTTTGAAAATATAAATTCACAGTGCCCTATGGAAGATGTGGTATGGGAATGGGCCCACAGTTAAGTTGCTTGCTTGATGAACACGTCCTTTCGATCCTCTTGGTATATCTCTGTGGTGGGATATGTCAGCCCACTTGGAAAAGCGTCAGGAGTCTCAGTGTGGAATCTTCAGCGATCATTTGGCCCTCCTGGCTCCTTCTTTGACAGGCTCTGCATCTACTTCCCTCATTTATACATCAAAAATTTATTAAGTATCTACTATGTGCTGGGCACTATTCTAGATTCATGGATACACCGGTGAATAAGACAGACAAGGTCCCTGGTTTTAAAGAGCTTACATTCCAGTGACGTAGCAGAAAATAAATAAGCCAACAAATAACTAAGTGGCAGTTTCAGAAAGTGATATGTAAAGAAAATATAATAGGAAAATATGGAGAAGGTGGTGGGGAGAGGAGTACAACATTAGCTAGGGGGTCTGAGAAGGTTCCTCCACAGAGGTGGAGTTTGAACTGGGACCGAAGAACAAGAAGGGACCGGCTCTGCAGGGAGCTGGGAGGAGGTTCTTGGAAAGATATCAGGACTAGTGCAAAGATCAAGGTGGGGAGGAGCTCTCCAGTTTCTGGAAGAGAAGAGAAGACCAAGCACTGGGAGGCAGGGATTCAGCAGTCAACAAGATGGCCGGTGCTGGCCTCCAGAAGCTATTGGAACGAGCAGAAGGAAATAAACCCAAGAGCAAGCAAAGTTAACTAGCACAGGGAACGAATGGCCTGGAAGGGAGAGGTATGGGGAGGAAAGTCGAATCCTCTAAACGTTTTCGGGGCTTCTGTCCCCTTGTACTGGGCACCTTCCTTACCCTCTGGTGCACCTTCTGGCCTTCAACCCTAGACCCTACTGGGTAAGTGATAGGAAAAATGAGGAGATAAACAGCTGTTCCAGAAAGCCCTTGCCACGGGTTACCTTGCTCCAGCGGTCCCCTCCTGTTCACAGGCTGTTTCTTCATATGCAGGTAGCCCATGTCTAAACCAGGTTTATAATCATGACTTTTGCCCCTGGATGGGGAGAACACAGGGCAGGAAGCATCTGTTTTCTCTGTTTTATTCCCAGCCATGTCCTGTCTGCCCCTGACTGCACTGATGGTCCTGCCACTAATTTGTGTGAATAAACTTCAGCTCCAGCTTCTTCCTGAGGGGGAGCTGGGAGGCCAGGGAACTTTTCAAGGACTGCCAAAGGAAGTTCTGGAGGGAATTCCCGGGCCAGTCAAGGAGGTGGAGGTGGGCCTCGTAGAACAGGAAAGTGGCCCAAGCTAATGTGACCTCCAGCTATGTTGAGATGAGCAATTCGTGTTCTGCAAACATACCCCCTTATACACATTTGCATTTCCTTAATTTTCATTTGGTTTACTTTTCCCTGTCACCGGTTTCCTGGACAAATTCCGTATAGAAAAGAGTCACACCTTTGAAACCCTCATTGCATCTGTTTGCAGGTCTGTATAGAAAAACCAGATTGGCACATGATACTATAGCTGAAAGATGAGAGGAAAATCTCATTTCCTTATTTGACCTCTAAGAATCTGGTCTTCCCCATGAGCCCCTGCTTGCTGGTAACTGAGGAGAAAATAAATGTTTAGGCTTACGATTTTAAGACCTTGTTTAATCCAGTCATTTAAATAGTTCCTTTAAGTAATGCTCAGTCTCAGAGTTGTCGCCTGGCTGAGGAAGAGTCAGGGTCCTGGGAACAGTGTCCTCTACTCCTCTGCTTCCCAAGTGATGTCATTTATCTACCTGGTCACTGCCGGCTCTGCTGTCATTGGAGGATCTGGTGTAGGCCTTCAAGAGATGCTTTGTGCCTTGCTCATTGCCTGGTGGTATTCCCAGGGTTGCTGGGCCTCTGCTGGCACCATACTCTCCTCTAAGACCCTCCCCTGCTTCTCACTGATTTGCAGCCCAGGTAGTCCCAAGGCCCCCTCTGGCAAGGCCCTCCCCTAGAATTTTGGCTACTTCTTGTTCCCATCTGCACCACAGGGGAACCGGGAAAGCTACCCCCAGGGGCAGCAGCACTAGCCCGAGGAGCACTTGGAGTGAACTGGAAAAAGATGTCCCTGATGGGAGGAGGATTTAGAAAAAGCGGCCACTTTTTCCAGAGGGATGCAAGAGTAGAGCCTGTTCATACTTATTCATGAGAACCAACTGTCAAATTTTCTGGAATTTTGAGAGCCTAGTTGTTAAAGACAAACATTATTAAGTCTAAATTATATAAACTTATGACTAAATACATTTTATCAAAGACAAAAGTCAAACTCAAAATTTATCACCTCCTAATTATTTTACTACATTTTGCTATTGATTTTTTTTTAGGTTATTTATATCTATTGTATCTGACTGGTGGAAATACTATCAATAATGTCTTACTTGTTTTATTATTTTGTTGATTATCTAGGCTTGAGAAATAAATGCAAGAAATGTTACTGTTGCAGATTAAATCAAGCGTGTGCTCCCTGTAGCCATGACATTGTGAAGAAGACCAAGAAAGGAGGAAACTTTCTTTCAGTACTTGAAAAAAGTTCAGCAAAGTTACTCAGGGTCATTGGCAAATGAGTGAAGATTCAACCATCACTCATCTTTGATGTTTCATTTTCCTCTTACTTGTTAACATAAAGTAAAATGTCAAGCAGCGTTCATGTCAGAACTGCATTCATTCAGCCATTGCAGCCCTAGGTTAGTTCCAGATACAAACATCTATCAGCACGGCTGATACGGCTCCTTGCCAGGGTGCATGACTTGCAATCTAGAACTCGCTGTCTCTAGCTCCCTCCCCCGTGTTCCATTCCCTACCCTGGGAACGTTTGTGTAGTGAATAAACTGGACAGCAGTACACCGTGTTCCTACTGCCAGGTCTCCTTCTATTGACTCATGCCGATTTTACTTTAATGTGTCTGTGTCCTAGGCTGGATTGTGGCAGCCAGAAAACTGGCCTTTTCCCAGAGTCTTAAACAAGAAGTATGCGACATCCTCTTTTATCTAATACACCTCCTTCTCTCTCTTTTTTTCTTTTCCATCATTGCTGAAAGGTCCATTTCTGCCATTGCATGGCAAGTATACCTCATGGCCTGGTGCCATGGCTGGGGGTCTATCTCGTACGCTGTGTAGGAGAACTCCAGAACCTGGGTCTACCAGATTTTGTTGTGATTTGCAAAAAGAAAGATGAATGGAGGGAGTGGGATAAAGGAATTTAGAGAATCTTCTCCCAAGACAATAGGCTAGCCTGCAAATCTTTTTACTTGAAGTACAATCCTATATTTGAATGTCAAAAGCTGTATCTAAACCGCAGGACTCGTTTGTGGGGCTCCTTGTTCAAAATTATTAAGAATTTCAAGATGTTGACAGCAGAGCATTCAAGGAAGCCTGGGGCCCTTCTGGGTATGGGCCCCTGTGTGGTGTTGGTCATACCCCATGACACTGGCCCTGACGTATACTTTCTTTCTTTTTCAAAATATTCCTAATGACCATCCCTCCCCTCCACCCCAACCTTCCCAAGGCACATGGACGTTCTGGGAGTGAGTCACGTACTCAGAAAGGCGAAAATGAAAAGTATATTAACATTTTTTAAAATGCCTTGGTTATTTAAGGTTCCTAAAGTGTGCCCAGGTCTCCTCCCCTGAATGTGTGAAAACCAAGAGCCGGAGAATGGCAAAATCGCATTTCTTTCACTCATTTATCCATCCATCCATCGTTTATTTACTGAGCACCTGCTGTCTTCCCAGCACTGTCCCAGGCCCCAAGGATTCAGTAGTAAGCAAAGCAGACATGGCCCTGTCCTCATGAGGATCTTTGTTTAGTGCAGGAACTGAACTCTAAACAAATAATGATTCACAGAAACACGCAATTACAAACTGGGGTAAGGGAAGAAGCGTGGTTTATGAGCAGGCCTTGGAGATATCAAAGGAGATTGACCTGACCCAAGGTTTTGGGGCTGGGAGTGGGTGGTTAGAGAAGGTCTCCCTCAGTGATATTGGGCTGAGGCTGGAGCAGGTGTTTAAAAAGAGGGAGCCAAGCCCATTCCAGCCGGAGGGAAAAGCAGGCCTGTGACAATGGCCCAACCCTCTGCACGGCCCTGGCACGCTTCCTGCAGGGTGATATCCCCCTCTCCTGGCTGCTCAGGGCTGGATCTAAGCTGCTCCTACCTGCTGCCTTTTCAGATTCTCTGATTCTTGGAAACAAAGAATTGGCAGGACAACTGAAAATGACCAGGAGGAGGATATACTGGGTCCCCAGCTCTTCCGGTGGCCTCATAAATCTCGGCTTGGATGTAGGTGATGACATGGCTTCAGGACTTAGCTACGTAAGTAGATCTCCTTTTCATCACAACACTAGGAAACTGAGTTGACAGGGTCTTCACAATGGTCGTAAATTAGATCAATGGTTTTGTCCTATAATTATTTCACCTTGATTTTTTTAATGGTCCTCAGGTTTCTACAATTAGATGGATCATAATCCTTTGTCATGATACACCTTCATGGTTCGTGCCTCTATCTTTCTATCCCTCTCTCTCTGTCTCGTCTATTAACTATTTTTCTATGTATTTACTTTTAATAATATAATCAGCAACTGTAAACCCATCAATTCACGAGCTCGGACCTTAACAATCACATCCAGCCATTGGTCTTCCTCCATCTCGTTCTCTAACCCTCACCCCCTGAAGTAACCATCATCTCAAATCTTTTCCCAGTGATCCCTTGCTATGCTTTTAAGATAGTATTTATTCTACGTGAAGTCCTAGAAGTGATATATCTTTTTGTTTTAGTTTTTTCCCATCTTATCAAAAGCATAACATGGAATGTTTTGGGATTTAATTTTTTTGCTTCTTGACTTCTTTGTGGTAGGTTTACCTCAGAGGGTGACTGGGTCTCACATTCTGTGGGTGACTAACTATAGCACCCTTTATTCTTGTCTACAGTGTTTATTAATAGGTAAAAACCCAGGGAGGTAGAGTGACCTGCCCACTGTCACCCGGCAAATGAGGGGCAGGACCAGGGCTGAGACCCAGTTGTCCTGACTCTTGGCTCAGTGCTCACTCCCTGCCCTGCAGCTTTTCTTTTATTTACTTATTTTTATTGAGATGTAATTGACATATAACATTATATTAGTTTCAAGTGTACAAAATAATAATTCAGTATTTGTATATATTATGAAAGGATCCCCAGAATAAGTCTAGTTAGCATCCATCACCTCACATAGTTACAAATTTTTTTTCTTGTGGTGAGAAATTTTAAGATCTACTCTCTTAGCAACTCTCAAATATACAATACAGTATTATTAGCTATAGTCACCATTCTGTACATTACATCCCATGACATTTTATAATTGGAAGTTTGGTACATTTGATCCACTTCACCCATTTCACCAAGCCGCCACCCCCTCTCCTCTGGCAACCAGTCTCTGTTCTCTTATGTATGAACTCTCTTTTTTCAGATTCCACATGCAAGTGAGATCATACAGTGTTTGCCTGTCTCTGTCTGACTCTGGCTTTAGGAAGCTGGATGTGGAAAGATCTGTCTGCCTTGGGTGGCCAGCCCAACACTCCCTCAGGCAGCATTTATGAGGTCTGAAACTGATGTGTTCTTGCTTTTTCTTTCCCAAGAAACCTTACACTCTGGAAGGTGGCCCCTGGACCCAACAGGCAGGGAATCCTGCAGCACCGGAGAAGGCGGAGGGCCTCCCTTGGGGGAAGTACTCTGCTGCCTGGAGAAACATGATTCCCTTCCGTCCCAAACCAAAGTGAGTCTTGAGGGGGAGGACGAGGGGCTCTACCCCCCAGGGCAGTGACCCTCAGACCTTCACACCCAGACCCCTCCTAAAGTTACATAACCATGCCGACACACTCATGTCGCCCACCACAGCCCAACACCTGCAGAGCAGCCTGAGGCACACCAGGGAGGCACAGCCAGCCCTTCGTTCATTCATTCATTCATTCAACAAGGATTCACTGAGCCCTTACATGTGCCAGGCACTATGCTAGAGCGTGGGGGAATAGCAGTGAGCAAGACAGACGAGATCCTTGTCCACCGTGGACCTCACATGGGGGAGAAAGACAACAGTCAAGTAAACTCATAAATACACATGTGACTGCAAGCTGTTTGAGGATGGTGCTGTGGAGAACCATGGGGGTGCAGAGGGACAGTGGAACAGTGACAGCTTGTGCTTTAGCTCAGACCCAGAGGACGAACAAGATTTTACTAGGAAAGAGAATGGGAAGAATGATCTGGGCAGAGGGAAGAGCATGTGCAAATGCCTGGCCTTGGGATGGAAGGAACACAGCGTGATGTGTCCAGGAACTAAGAAGGAGGCCAGTGTCACTGGATAGTCACGTGCAGTGATGGGTCTGGCACGAGTTGAACCGCAGAGGGAGGCAGATGCTGGGGGATCATGCACGCCCCCATGGGCCGCATTAAGGATGATGGTCTTCCTTCTAGGAGAAGTGGGAAGCCCTGATGGCTAAATGCCCTGTGGTCTATCAACAAACTGTAGTTGTTGTCCTGTTTTTATGTCTGAGCTCTTAGCAATACTAGCTAGATGGTTCCCACTGAATTGATCTCATCTCCACCAGGATCAGAGTACCTTGGTACCTTAGTTCACCTGGGCAACCTCATCTCAGAAATGCATGTCTCTGCTGGGCCTTTGGAATCCTGGCACCAGCTCATAGACTCTCGCCCCCTCCTCTGTGAGTGCAGATGGCCCCACGTACCTGCCGCAGTGTCCCACCCTCCCTTCAGTCTCTTCTCTCTCCAACACACCTGGCAGAGGCGTGGCCAGCCCTGCCCGGAGTGCACAGTTCCAACACGAATGCAATCATTATTTCTGCATTTGTGAATCATTCCCAGAGATATGACCTGATCATTCTTATTTACTTTTTATTTCATTTTTATTTTTTGGTGAAAGTTACATAAGCAAAACATAGAAAAATTAAACCAATGAGAATGTCTTTTCCTGTTCCTTTGCCAATTCTAATTCCTTCTTCAAAGTCAACCACTGTTAACAATTTGATATAAATTGTTACATAACTTGATATAACAATTTGATATATATTGCATATATATCATTTTGTCTGCCTTCCCTTATTTCTTCCTTTTCATGTAAATAAAAATACACTGAATTTCTTAATCTGCAAATGATTTTTTCCTTGCTTAATCTTGTTAGAGCTTTTTCCACGTTCTGCAAATAGATCAGCTCGAATTTTAGACACTTCTGCTTTGTTTTCCACAATATGGATTTACTGTGGTTTTTTTCTTTCTTTGCAAAGCATTCTCCTATTGATGAGTGTTTTTGTTGTTTCTGGTTTTTAACTATCACAAATAATAGAGTCATGAAAAAAAATACTTCTCTGTACACCCTGACGACTGCACTGTGGCTCTTACATTGTTATAATTCATCCCTTCAAAATCTTGTGCTTGACTTATTTTTCGTCTCGAGAGCCTGTGTCACAGGGGTGACCACGCTGCCTGGGACTTCTCTCCTAGGTTTCCTGCCCCGCAGCCCATGGATGATGCTGGCCTGTTCTCCTACCTCTTGTTGTCATGGTTGACCCCACTCATGATCCGAGGTTTACAGAAACGCTTAGATGAGAACACCATCCCCCAGCTGTCAGTACATGATGCCTCAGCCAAAAATGCCAAAAGGTAAAGTCACATTGAGCAAGCCACGGGATTGGTTAGAGACCATGTCTCAGGGGGATGGTGACCCGAGATGCTTAACACTAGCAGGTGGGGTCTGTCCTCTAACAACTAGAGAATATCGTTTCTTCCTTTGTAGCAAGACACCTCACTCTAGTCTGAAGCTTCTTAACCTGGGGTTCATGAATCTCCTGAAATGGTTTACATATTTCATACATATGGGCTGGAGATCTTTTTCTAGAGCAAGAATTCACCTCTTTTATCAGATTTGCATTAGGGCCCAGGACCTCCTCCAAGAAAGTTAGAAATTACTGCTTCTAGTCCCTTTTGCTTTTTCTTCTGGATCAGGTATTTATCTGTGTCACTGATCATTAAATTTTGGGTTAGTGGTCCAGTCACTTAATCTTTGAGCCACCACTAACTAGTTGTTTGGTTACATTTCTTGTGACACCTACCCCACAAGGCAATATGAGAATCAAATGGGGAAAACAATGGTAAGTGACTTGAAATGTTCCTACCTCTGGCTAATCCATAGGCACCAGGTATGGAGTGGCCTTTCCCAAATGTTTTCCAGGAAGTGGTGACTCGTGAGCGCCTCCCTGAGAAGAGCGCTCAGTGGTCGGGGAGTCTGTGAAGTGGCGCGAACGAGAGCCAGTCGCAAAGATTTACACACTAAAGTAGTGTGTTGAAGGCACTGAGAAAACAGAAACTGTTTAACCTTTGACCCATTGCTTCTCAGATTTGTTCAGTAAAATAAAGTTTCCAGGGAACACCTCTTGGATAATGCCAAATGTTGGTCAGAGCTCACCTCTTACCAGCTACGATGTCAGAAAAGTTACTTACCCTTTCAGGGCCTTGTGTCCTTATGTATAAAATAGGGGATCATAAAATTTATCTCATGGTCCTTCATACGATTGTTGCGAGAATCGCAAAGGTGATACATATAGTTTAAAGCACTTGGAAAAATGCCCAATGCATGATAGGCAACCAGTTAACTGTTAGTTGGGTTGGCTCTTCCTAACCATTATGAGAACAAGCTCTCCTGACCTACTTCCACTCTCCCGGGTCACCCATGCTCCCTTTTCCATTCTATAACTCACCATGTCTGTCTACCAACACCTCTGCAGTCACTCCATTTTCAGATGTTTATTTGAAAAAATAATTATCCATGCATTCACACCTTTAAAGGGGTTTCTTTCTGTATGTTCACCATTTAACAGGCAGAATTCTGGGATGCATTGTCCCTAATCCTTCAGAACGGCTGCTTTGGCTTCTGTAAGGATTTGCTGACAAACTGCCAACCATCACTGTCACCCCCACTGTCACCACAGCAGCAGCATCACCGTCATGCCCACCGTTATCTTCATCATCATTTCCCTCATAATTCCTCACATTTTTTCTTATTCTACACTTACAGAGCATTTCCCCATCCATTATCTCCTATGACCATCACAATAGGGTTATGAAATCAACAGGGCAGATATTATTTCCTCATTTTACAAATGAAGAAACCAAGGACAGGAGAAGTGAAATGTTGTTTCCTGAGTCACGTAGCTAATGAGTGGAGGAGGTAAAATTTGAAACCAAGTCTTTTCAATCTGAGTCTGGTAATCATGGCCAGAAATTGATAGGACAGCTGTGGGCAGGTATGGAAACTTGGATTTGTTTAGTCAAAGGAGAGCCAAGTCTGGAGCTTGTTGTCTCTGTGGATTGTGTCATGTGTGGCAGTAGGACTGGAAAGAGGAGAGGTGGCCCCACGGTTTGGCCTCTGACACGTACAGGTATCATGGGGACATTTGTGCTTTGCTGAGCTGGGGCCGAGACCCCCAGTTATCTGGGCCATACTGATAGGCGCTGGATGGGCCAGCTGTTTTGTAACCCAGGAAGGAAGAAGAAGCCTGGAGTTTTGATTGCAGGTGACAGAAAATACGACAGAAAGATTCTCTTGTTGATTGTTCCCTTCTGGTTTTAGACTGGGCACAAGTGTCCATGTCTGGAGGAGTAAAGGGTAGAAAGGGCTACAACTGCTTGCCGTTAGAGACTTGGTGAGATTCTGGGCAGAGGATGGGACCCAGAAGCTGATAGAGCTGTTTAAGAACATGCGTAGGCTGTGCTGCTGTTGGGCCCTGGGGACAAAGGGTGACCCAACAAGGGAGGCCATTCTGTCCACCATACTCTTGCTCTGTAAGGAGTAGAAGCTTCAGGGAGCACCTGGAGTCCCTTGGCATTGTCCTTAGTGTTCTCATCAAGGGCAGTGGTAACTGCTTTCCAGACAGTGGGACCAGACGTGTGGCAGCAGGAGCCAGGAAGTCAAAGAGCAGATGCCAACATGGGGCCTGCTGCTGGGAGACTGGGCTGTGGATATGTGGACAGCATCCAAAGGCCGCATTAGACTCTGGAAGCCCCAAGCACCACAGAGACTATTGTTGCTGTCACCTGCTCCTGCCTCAAATATAATTCTAATAAAAAAGTATAAGAAAGCCAGAAAAATTTTAATTTTTTCATGACTTCTTTGATACTTTTCTGAAATATCATATATCAAATTTTTTTCCAAAAGAAGTGTTTTTGGTGTTCCTGTCTTGCTGGTGTAACACAATCATCCTAGGCATCATTAGCTTGGAATGTCAAAATAAGGACATGCTCTCAGCTGCATGATCCAGCACTGGGCACCTTTTGGGGACTTTGAAACAAATGAGAGTGCTTTATGAAGGCCAGTGTTCTGGGTGTTATAAATTGTAATTTGTGTATAAAAAGGAAGAGTGACATTATTCAAAGTCCTAGCCTACTTCCTTAGCTAACTGTATTTCAGGATAACAAAACAGTTGATGAGAGAAACTTATTTTTTATAGAAAAACTCAAGCTACTAAATACGGAAGGAGTGATAGAATTAGAAAAATTACCATTTTGCCAGCCCTAATGGGAGTGGATCTAGGCAATGGTTGTCAATGATGGGGAATATGGCAATGAATGAGTCAGGCTGACAGGCCTTAACCTGCTGATCCACCTTAGCGTTACGAAAAGTGGGACCAGGCATTGTGCGTCTTGAGATGTGATGCACAAGGAAGGACACCACAGCACCTGTTGAATATTCTTGCAAACCGACACGAATTCTGAATTTCATTCAGCCTCTAGGTCTAACTAGCAGTCTACTAGGAAATACAGAGGATAGAAGATTATGTTAGATGACACCACAGGGACACAGTCAGTCAAATCCAGAATGTGGTAAATTCTACAGGATAAATAACTCAGTTTCTTCAAGAAGTAAATGGCAGAAAATGCAGAGGAGGGGAAACTGTTACAGATTAAAAGGACGCCAGAGGCCTATCAGATTTGTCCTTTAACGTGATGTATGGACCTTGTTTGGATCTTGATTTAGGGTAAACTAACTGTAAAAATATATTTTAAAAATAATTAAAGAAATTTGAATACAGGCTGGATATTAAATGCCGTTAAGGAATCATTGTCACCATGTTATCAATATGTAACTATTACTTCTTATTAATAACAATTAGTAGTTATTAATATATATTGTTATTATGGTTACTATGGGTTTTTTTTCCCAAAAGCCCTATGTGGGAAGAGACACATTCTGAAGCATTTATGGATGAAATGATGTGTCTGGGATTTCCTTGAAATACTCCAGCAAAAACAGAGAAAAAGAGGAGGAGAGGAGAGACGAAACAGAAATGTCAAATGTTGATTATTCTTGAAGCTGAGGAATGGGTATCTGGGGAGACTCCCTATTCTGTTCTCTCTTCGTTTGTTATGTTTGAAACTTTCTGTAATGAAGCTTCTAGGCTAGTGAGCCCTAGGACGTTTGAGTGACACATGCAAAGACATTTCGCTTGGCTCGATGTTCCTCTTTTCAAGACTTCGCCTCCTTTGGGAAGAAGAAGTCTCCCGGCGTGGGCCTGAGAAAGCCTCGGTGCTTCACGTGATGCTGAGCTTCCAGAGAACAAGAGTTCTTTTCGCTACGCTTCTGGGCTGCTGCCTCTGTCTCTGGAGCCTGCTGGGGCCAGTAAGTGGCGGATGTGCTGAGGTTGGAGCACTCCAGGCTTTCGGGATTAGCATGTTCAAGTCTGTGCCAGGAATTGGGGGTATTTGCCTCTCAGCTGCTGCTCAAAAAATGAACACCTTTTTTGGGAATTAGAGCTAGTAATAGCAGTGTGAGTTCTGCAGCCACTGCTTGGGTTCAAACCTTGGCCCTGCCACTTAAATGCTGAGTGGCTTTGGGCAATTTGCTTACCTTCCCTGTGCCTTAGTTTCTTCAAGGAACCCCATGACACTCTGAGCAGTGGACCTCGTAGAAACCATCATGTGTATAATGGACAGCACAACGTCACCTGCCTCATAGGGTGACATTACATGAGATCAGTATATAAAGCACTTAGAGTGTGGTCTGGCTCAGTGCATGCCAGCTGCTTCGAGAAATGGCTGAGCAGCTCTGGGGATGTTGGGGCAGGAACTAATGATCTCCTCCATGGACCAAGGATGGGAGGACTCGGCTCTATTTCCTGCCTTCCAGTTCCTCAGCCCAAGATTCTGGTTGCAGAGAGTGAATCTGATTATCCCAGCTGGTGTCACATGCTCACCAGTTGGACAGAAGAGGGTAGGGCACTTTGATTGACAATCCAGGCTAGTCTGCATGCAATGGGGCAGGTGACAGTCTCCCCAGGAGAAAACTGAGGCACTCTTACCAGCTAAGGAAGAATGGATGCAGGTCAGGAAGAGACAACAACTGATGACACCGCAGAGATAAGCTCTCTAGGTGACGGTTAGTGTGCCGGATGGTCTCCATTTGTCCCTCCAGATCCACTCTCTGCCGCTGTCCACTCTGCCCTGTGCCCCTAGTGCATGACCTGTATGGATCACATTAATGCGGTCCCCCTGCACTCTGGCTTCTGGTTGGGTTTGACCTGTGGGAGATGCCAACAGGAGACCAGAGGGAAGGAGAAAGTGAGGGCAGGATATTTATTCCTCTCACTGCCTCCCTCCCTGGCACTGGAGGTCAGCGACCAGGCTCCTGCGAGGAGCCCTTTCTGTGTGACTCTCTCCTTCTGGGTTCCAGCAACCTCCTCCTCCCCCTCCCCTTAGGTCTGGGGAGGTAACAGTTCCCTGATGTCACTGGCTCCATGGTATGCTACCATCCCTGGTTGGATTTCCTAAATTCTGCCCACACCTTGTAAATAGTCACTTTAATAACTTCTGAAATACCCCATTAACGTGTGTCTTCTGGTTCCCGTCAGGACCTGCTACAAAGTAATGGAGCTGGGATTCAGATCTGAGTCAGCTGAACTCCTGAGTCTCCTCCGACTGGACTAGGTCCTTCCTGAAAGCAGGATTGTGCTTGAGTCAGTTTGGACCGTTCAACAAGCCCCCAACATTGACCCAAGGACCTCACACAGCCTACCTCTGATATTTGTTGCCTGATGGAAGGATTGGGAGGTCTGAGTGATCCAAACTCCTGTTTCCTTTTAGGTGCTGATCATACCAAAGATCCTAGAATATTCCGAAGAGCAGCCAGGGAACATCGTCTATGGAGTGGGACTCTGCTTTACCCTGTTTCTCAGCGAGTGTCTGAAGTCTCTGAGTCTGTGTTCCTGTTGGGTCATAAACCAGCACACAGCCATCAGATTTCATACAGCCGTTTCCTCCTTTGCCTTTGAGAAACTAATGCAATTTAAGTCTCTAACACACATCACCACGGGAGAGGTAAGTGGCTGGGACTGCATGCGGAGCCCGTGCTTCCCTACTTCTCCTCCAGACATCGCTGTCCTGAGGCCAAGGGGGGGAGAAAAGGGAGTTAGGAGAGGGACGGAAGGAAGAAAGAGAAAGGCAGTAATTCCTAGGGTGAGTGTTGATGACCATCAAGAATTGCCTCTGGGGTTATAAAAGCAGGTCAACAATAACCCAGGGAGATGCCACTTGAATAGATGGACCTGGAGAGCTTTTATCTATTCATTCAACAAATAGTTACTGAGCGTACTCTGGGCCAGGTCCTGTTCTAGGCCCTGGGATACGGCAGTGAACAAACAGACACGAATTTGAGTAGAAGCACGTTGGAAAGTGCACCCCCAGTCAGTCTGGGGAGGCGCGTATGAGGACTCGATGGCTCAGGGCAATCTTCCAGGGAAAGCAATCACAGATAAGCCCTGTGCTGTGAATTTTCCTCTCTGCAGAAGAGGAGTACTGAGAGCTGCCTGGTGATTGCATTGATGTGTCAGTTCCTGCCCTCACTCTCCCCACAGCGTAACACAAACAAACGCTGACAGAGATTGGAAGAAGATATTCCAACTCAGGACCCCTAGTCATGGAGGCACTGGAATTTTATATATTTAACTTCCATTGCCCTGTTTTTCTGTTGATTACCAGTTGCCTTGAGGAGCATGGATCACTTTGGCGCTGGAACATTTTTGTTTTGGAAGAGGCAGTGCTGCTTCGGCTCCTCGCCCTCAGGCCAAAGCCCCTTGTGATCTGACAGCAGCAACTTTCCACCTCATCGCCTCCCATATCCCCTCCTCCAGCCCAAGGTTGGCTTCCTCCCTTCCCGCCAGGCTGGGCTAACCTCCAGTCCTCAAATACTCCAGCCATGTCCATTTCCTGGCAACGTTGCTCATGTAACCCCTACCCCCTGCCCTTTGGAAATCCCATTCATCCTTCAAGGCCCAGTTGAGACGTCCTCTCCTTACTGATAGTACCTCTAAACCCCACCCTATACTCCCACTACCCACCAAGCACAGATCTGGCTGCTGACTCATATGAGCCCCCTTCAAAGACAAGATCCATGTTAGATTCACCATTCTATCCTTCGAAAGGCCCAGCATCTGACTTACACAGGACAGACGTCCAAAACGTGCCTGCCGAATTAACCATTGCCACCAAGTGGATGTTTTTTCTAAACTCGAGTGCTAACACACATAAGATATTTATTGTTATCATCATTACTGTTATTCTTCATGATTTTATTAGTCCTGTGACCTTAGACAACTTGTTCAGCTCCCCTGAAGCTGTGGGATTGTTGTCTCATGGGGTTAAACGAGTTAGTACATATGCAGCACGTGGAAAGGTGGCATGATTCATAAGTGTTCAGTTGTCTCATTAATTTCTGTTAGGCCTCAAATATGGAGGATGCACCTGGCTGAAGGGAAAGTATCCATGGCAGCCAGCTTCGTGTTGATCCCGGGAAAGTCATCGTAGTGATTGCAGACTTCCCATAAGCCAGACATCGCCCCAAGGGCTCTACTTACTTAGCTCAGTCAGTCCTCTGACAACCCTCTCAGGCAGTAGTTTATGTTATTGTTCCCGTTGTCACAGAGGTGGAAACTGAGTCAAGGAAAGAGAAGGAATCTTGTACAAGGTCACGTGACCGGTAAGCAGAGAGCCTGGCTGCAGAGTCCAGGCTCTGAACCAGTAGACTCACCTCCCTCCCGAAGTAGACCTTTTGTACTGAGGCCTGCCTCGGTGCCATTTCTGTACGCCTCTGTTCTGAGCACCTGCTGTATGCAAAGCCCAATTTACCCAAATATCTTCATAGAAGCAGAAGACAAGATGGCCCGTTTGGAAGTGGAGATGGAAGTAGTTGCTCACAAGAGGGTTTCTAGGTGTTGCTTCCATAGATTTTGTTTTAAAGATAATTTCAAAAATAACTGAATACATTCTCCTTGGAAACAAAATAAAATAGTATAGATGACTCCCTTGACCTCTTCTTATGACTTTCCTCATGCCCGGAGGGAACCACCATTATCAGTTTGGCATGTGTCCTTATGGACTTTTTAAAGTGTATTTAGCGCACATGCAAGTTTTTGCATAAATGATACTACGTTTGCATAGTGTTCTGCAATTACCAATAGAAACTGTGTGGCATAGGTTTTTTGGGTGATTTCTTACATTAATGGTGCTGCATCGTTTATGTTGCTTTGTAGCTTTGTCTCCATCCTCGTTCTGTCTCAGCTTCCATGTTAGGACGTAGAGATCGTCCTCCTGCCTTCTCAGTGATGCTTCCTCATCATTACAGCACTTTCTTTTTTCCCTCATTTGTATTGAAATATAATTGACATGTAAGATTGGATTAGTCCAAGGAATACACATAATGATTTGATATATGTACATATTGCAAAATGATCACCACAGTAAGTTAACATTCATCACCTCATAGTTACAACTTATTTTCTTGTGATGAGAACTTTTAAGATCTGCTCTCTTACCAACTTTCAGACAGACAATAAGGTATTGGTAACTATGGTCTACATGCATATTTATAACTAGAAGTTCTCACCTTTCCCCCCAGCCCCGTTTAGCACTTTCACTGTGCCAAAATGAAGCGTTTTATGCGCGTTCTCTCATTCAGTGGTCACAGCAACACTATGAAGTAGGTTGTTTTGTTATTTTCATTTTACTGAGGAGGCAACCAAGGTACAGAGAAACTGACCGATGTGTCTGTGGTTCCACAGTTAGTAAATGACAGGTCTGGGACACGAACTTGACAGTTTGCTCCAGGAACTAATGCTACCTAATATTTCATGCGTGGCTGCTGCACCCTTCCCCACCAGTGGGCAGTGAGGACGTTTGCGGGTTTTGCTGCGGTGAACAGGGCTGCAGCAGACATCCTTGCATGTGCCTCCTCCGGCGCAGCTGAATGTTTCTCCATCGAGAAATGAAATTGCCAGGTCCTGGGGTTCGTGCAGTTATTAATTTTCAGAGATTCTGCTAAATAGCCTTCCAAAGTGGCTGCAGCAAGTTAAGCTCCCTGATACACTTTAGAATTTGTTAAAGGCTCGGCTCGGGCGCATCCTGGGAACTGGAAGGAGATCAGCTTAAAAGGAAATCACTTCCTAAGGGATTCAGATTGGTCATCCTAAAAGACGCTAATGAATTAGTTCCTAAAATACTTCCTGACTGGGAATGTCAGCTTTCATGTAACACTGAACTGGGCCATTTGTGTTGGGAGCAGGGAAGTGGGCCAAACAGTCAACAGCAAAAGAGAGAAAGGAAAAGAAGAAGGAAAGAAGACTCAGCTCCTGCCTAAAAAATTCAGTTATTACTATTAGCAGTAGGATGGATAGAAGAGAATAGAATTAAATGACATACAAGAGAATAGAAGACTAGAAGCAACTCTCCAGAATCTGGAGATTAGTAGGAGCAGCAATAATATAGTAAAATAGAACTTGTATTGATCACAGTCTATGTGTGCAGACACTGTATATCGCATTGCCATTCTCACAACCGTACAAAGTAGGTATAATGATTCCAGATCTTCAAGTGGAGAAGCTGAGGCTCAGAGTGGCAAAGTACGCTGTCCAAGGTCACACAGCTAGTAGGAGGAGAGCTGTGAATCTGGTGTGTCTGCCTCTGCTCTATCACCCTGCCTTTCAAGGCTTCCTGCAAGGAGAAGGCGTGGTGAGGCCACCTGCTGCGTGCATGTGTGGCTCCTCTTGGGAACCTGGAGAGGTGATACCTATGCCCAAGGACTTGCTCTCTTCCAGGCCATCAACTTCTTCACCCGCGACACAAAATATCTATTTGAAGGGATGTACTATGGCCCTCTGACCTTGTTCTCTGGTTTGTTCCTGATTGCCTGCAACATCACCTCCTGCCTCGTTCTTGGACCCACTGCACTCATTGCCACTGTTTGCTTTCTCCTGATTTTACCATTGGAGGTAACATCATTCTTTTTTGGGGGGGGGCGGGGGGAAGATCAGCCCTGAGCTAACATCTGCTGCCAATCCTCTTTTTGCTGAGGAAGACTGGCCCTGAGCTAACATCCGAGCCCATCTTCCTCCACTTTATATGTGGGACGCCTGCCACAGCGTGGCTTGCCACGCGGTGCCATGTCCGCACCCGGGATCCGGACCAGCAAACCCTGGGCCGCCAAAGCGGAATGTGCGCACTTAACCGCTGCACCACCGGGCCGGCCCCGGTAACATCATTCTTTGCTACCTGTTTGATGCTGGATGTTCCCCACAACTCCCAGGGCTCTGGAATCTGGGTACTTCTGCGTGGGAATGGTGACTCTTGTTGACTGTTCGTTCCACCATGGTTAAGATTCAGCTTCAGTTCCTACAGCAAAGGGTTCTCTGGCCACAATGTTGGCCTAATAAGTAAGAGGTGACTCTGACTGATGTGCGAGCTTCACCTCGTGGGCTTCTGTGAGGGATTATCTGCTTCACAGATCTTCCTCAGTAGGTATGCTCTGTATAGGGTGTTTGTTGCTTCTCTTCTCCCCATAACAGGCTGACGTAATAATGCAGACACTATTTAACATTTGGCTGAGCACAGTATGATGGGTAAGGGAAGCAAAGTGGCTGCCAAAGATTCAGGTGAAATAAACTGGGCGAAACAGGAAGGGAGTCTTGGGTTAAGCGTGCTCTGAATTACCGAGTACTTTCCTCCCTCAGCGCAGGTTTTGTGATCAAGGGCGATTGTGATAGTCAGAGGGTTCAGGGTTCCCGAAGGAGGAGGAGTCATGGCCGCAGCCTGGCTCGGGACCCAGGAGAGAAAAGCCCCTGGATGTGGGAGTCAGGGGTCCTACCCCGAGGGCCTGGAGAGGCCTCCACTGGGAAACCTTCAGGGGGCCCTGAAACTTCGAGTCACGGGGGACTCAGTGCAGGATTAAAACCAGGTGCACAGTCCCATCTAGGGTTTACCTTTGGAAATACTCCCAGTTGTCCTGCTCAGGCCAGGCTGCACTCTTCTGCCCTTGTCAAAAGGAGCTCTTGCTGCATCCTGACTGCAGGTGTTCTTCATCAGAAGGATTGTGAAGATACAGAATGACACAGCTGATGTCAGCAACCAGCGCATTCGTGTAACCAGTGAAGTCCTCACCTACATTAAGCTGATTAAAATGTACACGTGGGAGAAACCATTTGCCAAAGTCATTAAAGGTGCAGAAAATCTTGCTTTCTGCTCAGAGCCTGGGGATGTCATGGTGGGCCAAGCTTCTCACCTTCTGGGGACTTCTTTCATGCTCTGGGGGTTGCTCTTGCTCTTTGGAGAATGTTCTTGTGGTTAATTTCAGCGCATTTCTTTTTTATCTCCCAGACCTGAGAAGGAAGGAAAGAAAACTATTGGAGGAGAGTGGTTTCCTCCAGAGCCTCACCATGGCCACCTTTTTCATGGCCTGCACGGTGGCCATGACGTTGATGTTTCTCATCCACACGTGCTTACAGCTGAAACTCACAGCTCCGGCAGTAAGTGTTTGGGGTGCTCTGGTTCCCCGTATTGATGGGGAGCTTTCTCATGTGTCCTTTCCTACCACATGCCCCTCAAAGATCTGAAGGTTTTGCAAGTGCATAGTACAAATTGGTGTGGTTCTCCCGACTCTTAGGGTGCTCAAGCTTTCTTCCATCTCACCCCATCTGAGACACTGACATCCCTTGGATTTCGGCTGTGGAGACGAGGGCCAGTAGAGGCACCAGAGGCGCCGGGGAGGGGGCTGTGTACTTAAAACCCCAAGATTCGGATAGACTCCTGAGATTGAGAATCCTAAATTGAGGCATTTCTCTGATCCTGAAATAGGGCCCTGAAAATGCACTTTAAATAAAGGGTGAGCGTCTCTGTCTTTCCCTTTGCGCTCTGACCCTGGCCCTGAGAAGCAGCAGCTGATCTCAGGGTCAGGGATCCCAGTCGCTGGAGGAGACTAGGTCAGGATGCTGCTCTTGGGGAGGTTGGAACCCAGCCTGGGAGGGCAGGAGGCGGCACCTGGAGCAAAAGGGGGAGCGGGTGAGACTCTGCAGCCACGGCTCGTTTGTGCTCCAGACGGCAGTCACCTGTGCTTGGCCCCGCACACACCAGAGAACTGCCCCTGAGTGTGAGGCTGGCAGCGCGGGCTGTGAAGAGACACCTTCAGCAGGACACGCGGGTCACACTGCACTCGAGGATGCAGGATTAGACTGAATATTCCTGCTCCATTGGCAGAGTCTATCTTTAGATTAAGCTGGAAGAAGAAAGGGGTGGAGATGGGGCGTGGATTGGCAGGTCCCATTCTGGAACCCTGAGGGCTGAAGGTGGTTTTCCATGGTCAGGGAAGGACTCCGGGTGGGAGGGAGGCATGATTAGACTTGAAGCATAGGGAGATTTTGAAGATTAGAAAAGAAAAGAGCATCTAAGGCAAAGAAGAGTAAATATGGTCTTAGCAGCAGTGAGAGGACCAGGCTCCACTGATAGTAGACAGAGCTCTCTCACGTGTGTTTTCTGTGCTTCCCAACTTTCTTCCTGTACCAACGTTATGATTTTGGGTACTATGCCAGTGGGGAAACTGAGTCTGCGGTGGGGGACCTGCCCAAAGTTACAAAATTCCCGGTGGCTAAGCTGCAACAGGAACCAGGCACTCAGACACCAGGACTTTGAGACGGATCCCTTCTCTCCACTTTTTCCAGTCTCCCCGATGCCAGCTTGGCCTCTTGTCAAATGAAGGGCCTGCTTGTCGGAAGCTGCAGGGTCTGGCGCTCTGGCTTGAGGCTCAGGGATGGGGGCCTCAGGGAGTGAGGCAGCAGGACAGAGCTGTGACCCTCACTGCCTCCTTCCTGCCTCATCAGGCCTTCACCACGGTGGCCACCTTGTCTCCCTTGCGGCTGTCAGTGTTGTTTGTGCCCTTCGCAATCAAAGGCCTCACCAATTCCAAGTCTGCAGGAGAGAGGTTCAAGGTAAGTGGTCAGAGGACTGGCTGCTCGGCCCTCTGCTTGGGTGCTCATTTGCCTCAGCCCCCATCGTGTTCCTCCTGAACGTGAGCCCTGGCCAAGTAAGAGTCCACCCTAGGTGGAGAGGGGTTGGCTAACTCAGTGACCTCCTGTGCCCAGGCTGGTGTTGGGGCTGGGAGGACCGGTGAATCAGGCCGGCTCTGGGGCCCCAGGGAGATCTTAGGATAGTGTATCCAACCAGGTCTCAGACAGGCAGTCTGCAAGCTCGGTCCAGGTTTGTGTCGGGTTACTCTGATAGTTTTGCTTTTAAAAAAATCATATCTATTGCTTGCATTTAGAAACCTGGACATTGTATATAAAAGCTCAGATTTCTGGATTCTCTTGAATCATCAGAAGATGTGGCAACTGAACCTACGGTCTCCCCTGGCCACAGGCAGCTGGAGCAGAGGTGATAGCTGCCCTGTGTAGATGCAGCGTTTAGATGTGGTTTGCTGCAACCTCTGCCATGCCCTATCGCACCTCCAACACGGGCTGTGCTTTTCTTACAATTTATCTTTGTAGCAATGGGCTACTTCTTTGCAGAGCTGGTCTTACCCCTACAAGCGTCTGAGTTTAAAAACCCTAATTTAAACCAATTTTAAAAGACATTTTTATGGTCATCTCACTTAAATGCATTCAGTCCCCAACCTATTTTATTCATTCACTCAGTCATTCATTGATTCAAAAAAATGTTTACTGAACACCTACCACCTGCCAGGCTCTGAGAGTACCATCTGAGTGTGACTGACAGGGCCCTGCTGTTAGGGAGTTATTACCCTGGGATTGGACAAAGACAATTAGCAAGTAAATTAACAGTCAAAGAAGATAACATCAGATCAGACGAAGAGCGATGATGCCAATAAAGACTGTGACGTTCTAGAGAGTGTGTGGGGAGCGCTGGGGCCCTTCGGATGGCTGGAAGGAAAGCAATAAAATTTGGGACAGTGGTTACTCTGGGGGAGAGCTGGGAGGTGTAGAGGACTTCATCCACACCCAGCAGTGGGGTGAGATGGGAAGGACCCCACAGATGGGTCAGAGTTATAGCGCTTGGGTTCAGAGGCAGGCTCACGGATATGCATTATGTTCTTAAAAATAACTAAACAAGTAAGTGCCTACCTAACTAAATAAAAGAGGGGCCATGCACTTCCCAGTGACGACTGTGTGCCTTGACCCAAATGTTACAACCGGTCCAACTCAAAATGCCTGAGAACCAATTTAAAAAAAGAAACAGAGCACTTTTTTCTTTTGAAAATGGCTTTTTGCTTTGTTTTTGTAATGCTATGTGCTCATTTTAAAAAGTTGAGACAATGCGAAAAGGTACGGAGAATAAAAATTGCTCTGCATCCACTACCCAGAGAGAAAACAATCACCCGAGATGTCAGGAAGTCCCCTTCTAGATCTCTTTCCAAGCATCTCTTTGGGTAGAGACTTGTGAATACGGTTTGATTCCTTGAGCTCAGACTTCTCACCCACCTTTTTTAATGCTTGAATTCTCACGTAGTTCAACTCTTGTCTTTTACACACATGGAGATAAAGATAGACACAGACAGAAGTGAGCTGTCCATGGTCACGTTTTGAAATACGTGACCCAAAACAACGCAGTGTGGTACATGGGCAGACCTTTTCACTTTTAATAGTTATAAGTGAAATCTAAGTAGAAAAGCTACACGTCAATACTATGAGTCAACAGCTGTTATCACTTAAGATGAGGCTAAGGTGGGTTAGGCTGTTAGCCAATGCAGAATAGAACTGAATAGAACTCATAGTGCAGGTAAGATGGAAATATGAAAGAGTGGCCTAGCCATCTGAAGTTTGGAAAACCTTGATTTAGAATTTTCACCAGCTGAAACTGGCCGCCTCCTAATTGGCGATGGTTCTTCAAACTTTTACTGTTTATTAAAAGTTCATAAACCAGACCAATGGGCAGGCCAGCAAACCGGGCACATGTTCCTGCTGGACTAAAGAACTGAGTTCCTGCTCCCCCCTTTCTTTTTGTCTGAACAGAAGTTTTTCCTCCAGGAGAGCCCTGTTTTATATGTCCAGGCATTGAAAGACCCCAGCAAACCATTGGTTTTGGAGGAGGCCACCCTGTCCTGGCAACAGACCTGCCCCAGGATTGTCCGTGGAGCCTTGGAGCTGGAGAGGAACAGACGTACTCCCAAGGGGACGATAGGAGCTCAGCCACCTCTAGGTGCCCTCAGGCCACAGGACAAAGGGGACAGCCCGGCCCCAGAGTTGTACAAGATAAACCTGGTGCTGTCAAAGGTAGCCTCATCCAGGCTATGTGGGCAGGATGGCCGCCAGACTTTTGGGGCCTGAAGCTAGGAGGTTGGCTGGGTACCCGGCCATTTCCTTGGCTAAAAACTGCCCCCTACAAATCTCCCTTTAAAATACAAATTTTTCATGGAGGGCAAATACAGAAAGTCTTTCATACTTTAGTGTGAATCACAGAAAGTCTTTCATACTTTAGTGCGAATCAATGGATCATCTAAAATTGTTTTGTAATAGCAAGACCCAGCACAGTATGCTCTGTGTGTGCTGATCTCTGGAGGGACCAAGGACGTGGGGAGGAGAAGGAGAAGGAGATTAAACTTTCATTTTGTGAAGTTGCTAGTATGTCCCGGGCACTATCCTACCTGTTTCAATTTGGTTATTCTGTGAAGTCACCTTATCTCCCTTGTTTTCTGACTAGAGTCTGCAGAAGCCAGCTCTCCTGCTCCGTCCGAGTCTCACTTCTGCACCTTTCTTCTCTATTATCTATGAAAACCTAGCGATAGATACTGACATCGAATAGTAATAGATATCAACATCTATATCTAATGATAGATAAAAGATACTAATATCTAATAGTAATCGACACTGATATCCAATAGTAATAGATGTTAATATCCATCATCTATTTACACTTTCTCCCTTGGCGTCCTGTGGCTTTAAGTTTCACCGCTGTGCTTTGTCTCTAGCTCTGAAGTCTCCTCTGGGCTCCTGACTCAGCTGTCTGTTTACTTATCTCCTCTTCAATGCCTACCAATCATTTCAAAGAAAAGACCGAAAAAGAACTCTTGATAGTCATCCTCTCCAACCCACTCCCCAAGTCTTCCCCACCTCAGCAGATGGCACCATCCTCCTTCCAGTGGTCCAGGACTTGATTCTTTCCTTCCCTCCCTCCAATCCAATCCATCAGCGAGGGCTGTCAGCTCTGCTTTAACATCTCTCCCAAACCCAGTCCCCTCTCGCCATAGTCCTCTCCACTGCCCTAGCCCCAGCCACCAGCATGCTTTCCCAGCTCCTCTAAGAGCCTCCTTACCAGCCTCTCTGTTTCCACTTTTGTCCTCTTACGATCCACTACCATGCAGTGGACAGAGAGATCTTTCTAAACTACAAACCACTTCAAGTCACTCTCGTGCTTAAACTCTTCAGTGACTTCCCACTGCACTTAGGGTACAGCCCAGGTTTCCCGAGCACCCTGCCCACCTCTCTGACCTTTCCTCCCATTCGTTCCTTCTACACCAGCTGTACCAGCCTTCTCATAGCTCTTTGGCAGCCAACCTTATTCCTGTCTCAGGACCTTGGCACCTGCTGTTCCCGCAGCCTGGAACCTCCAGATCTTCCTGTGTCTGGCTCCTTCTTGTCATTCAGCTCTCAGCAGCTATGACACCTGCTTTAAGTAGACTCCCCTGGCCAACCTGTCTAAAATTGCTTTAACCCCCAACTCTCTGTCATAGCAGCCAATTTCATTTTACTTATATCGCTTATCACCATCTGATTGTTTGTTTGCTTATTTGTTTCATGGTTTGTCTCCCCCGGCTAGAATGTAAGCTCATGAGAGCTCTTTTCTTCATTACTTTGTACATAAAAGAAACACAAATGACTATTTGATTGTTGAATGAATGAATAAGTGAATGAGCGCATGAGTGAATTCTGTGAGTCTGGCTTTATTATCCCCATTTTACAGATAAACTGAGGCACAGAGAGCCTAAGTGACTTGCCCAGGATCACAGAGTGGAATAGATGCTGATCTGGAATTGGGTTTCTTACCCTACAAAGCCACCTATCCATGAATTCCTCTCTGCCACTTCCATGCGACTTCCTTCCTTTGAGGTTGCCCCTTCCCACCTCTATAGACTGACCTCAGAGGTCCTCTTGAGCTTTGCTTATCTGAGGGGCCCTGGAGTGGATGTGGCTATTTTGTTTTCCATTCGTCATTTTGTGTTCAAACAATAGACCAGCCCTGAGCAAGTGGGAGGGTTGTGCTGTCCCAACGCCTGTCTGTCCTCCTTGGCTTTGCAGGGGACCATGTTAGGAATCTGTGGCAACAGTGGGAGTGGCAAGAGCAGCCTGTTGTCAGCCATCTTGGGGGAGGTAAGCGACTTGTGTCCCATGCATGTCCACCCACAGGCAGTCGAAGCTCGAGTTCCCCCAGTAAGTCACGCCATCACTATCTTCCTCAAGGGGGTCAGAGCCAATACGATTTTTGTCAATGGAAAATGCGTGAGCGTGCACTGAGTGGGAGGCGGGTCGTAACTGTTTCTCCTCTTCACCCTGAGAGGCCACCTGCAGATCCAGCCTCACCTCTTCTCTCTGCTTTCCCCACCCTGTATGTAATCAACCAGCTATCAGGGTGGTGATACAGGTGTCTCAAAAATGATAAAATCATTTCATGAAGCCGAACTCAGAGTGAGACATGTGTCCCTTGTGAGACAGCATCAGGAGTGACATGTGAAGGGAGAACGGAGGAGGAGGAAGGGAGAAGGGGGTGGACAGAGGTGGCCCTCTGGATGGGATGGGCCGTCTTACTGGTACCCCAGCAGTAGAATTCACATGCCTGTTGGGTTCCCCTGCCCTTGAGACCTGAACCCTCTAATTCCATCGCTGTGGATGTTTTTGAGGTCTGCTTAGTCCACAGCCATGCAGATGTATGGCTCAGCCCATGCCTTCTCCGGTTTCCAAAAAACCCCCTCCCATTCCCCCAAAACATTTAAGGTCACATTGCACACCTCTCAGCAAACAGTGCCCTACCAAGGCCACAACACCTGGTGTGCGATTATGGCCACCTCCCCACGGGGGCTTCTCACCAGCTCTTCCCTACTCAGCCCCAGCCTCACGCCATCCGGGGGCTTCTTTCTCTTCATTCTCCTTTCTTGCCTGTCATCCCTCATTCCCACATTGTTGGGAGAACTAGCAGGTCCTTCTTTTATTTAGCTCACCCTCAGCTCCTTCTCCCAAATGTACATACCAGACTCATCTGCTCCTTGGGATGTGATCATGGTGTCAGTAGACTTCTCCCCTCATACATCAGTCTGACAGCTCGTTTCTTTGTGCTCCACGTGTTGTGGGCTTTCCCCAACTTCTTTGCAACTGGGGAGAAGAAAGACTACTTTTTCTTCTTTTAAATAGTAAAAATAGTTTGAATAGTACTTACATGCCAGGCCCTGTGCGAAGAGAATCCCATTTTTTCTTTCAACCCTGAAAACAACCCTCTGAGGAAAGCGCAGTCATTATGGCCAGTTTACAGATGAGGAACTAAGGCTCACTGAGGTGATGTGCCCAAGGCCGTCCAGCAGATAAGGGCTGGAGCCAGGGCTGAAACTCAGGTCCACCCAATGGAGGAGCGTTGCTTTTCCTCGCAGCACCGTCTCCTGGTGACTGCCATTCAAGGCCACCTTTCTACGTGACCAGCCGTTTGTCAGTTTCCTCTTCAAATGAACTGTCACTTTGTTTCCAATAAAGGAAAACAAAAAGATGTCATTTTAAAGTTTTGTTCTTATTAAAGCTTGACTCCAGATCAGAAGTAAAAAGCACAGAATGAGAAAGTGAAAGGAGCACAGGATGAGAAGATCCTATGCTGAGATGACAGGGATGGGGGTTATGGCCTTTATTTTTTTTAAAGTGTGTTTCTAAACTTATACAGAAAAGCAGGAAGAACACTACATTAAAGGCCCGTACACTCACCACCTCGATCAACATTTGATACCATTTGCATATTTGCCACATCTATGCAGAAACGTATTTTGTAGAACTATTTTATGACAGAGATTATGACCCTTTTCCACTAAATACTTCATCGTGATGTCCAAAAAATAAGGACATTTTTCCATCTAACCACAATGGTGTTATCAAACCTTACAACATTACTAATAATTCTGTGATATCCTGGGATGGTCAGAGGTGGCCTGGAACTTTCCATCTCACCATGAAGAGCATGGAGGCACTGCTTGCTAGGGCATGGGCTGGGGAAAGAAGAGAAAAAGTACATGGTGTCTTCGTTGCAAACCGTGGTTTCAGCCGCAGCACCAACTGGCCTGCTTAGCCCCCACTGCTGCTGTGTTCTCAGGTCCTTCCTCATCTCCCGGGTGGGCCTGGCAGGACCAAGTTCAAAGTCCCATTGATACAGGAGAGCCCCCAGGGTCCCAGAGGGCAGTGGGGGCCTTGGGCGCTGTGGCTGCTGAGCCCTGGGGGGTCTGTCCCTGTCCCAGCCCGGTCCTGAGGTTGGCCTCACTCTGCTGCAGATGCACTTGCAGGAGGGCTTGGTGGGGGTGCATGGAAGCCTGGCCTACGTCCCCCAGCAGCCCTGGATGATCGGGGCCAGCATCAGGGAGAACATCCTCATGGGAGTCCAGTACGACAAGGCCCGGTAAGCTTCTGGGAGGGGCACAGAAGGACGTGGGTGTGTGTGGCTGGTTTGGGAGGGACCCCCCAGCTGCTAATAGTAAGTTGGCAACTGCTAACACTGGCCGTGTGCTCGCTTATATGCATCACCATTGTTCCTCCTCACTGCGAGAGAAAAATTACTGTCATACCCATTTTCCAGACGAGTCAGCTGAGGCCCCAAGAAGTTAAATGATTTGCCAAAAGTCACACAGCTGGGAGAATACGATAAAGCCAGGATATGAACCCAGTGACTTTCAGACACTTCACGCATAACTGTTATGCTATATAGCTCCAAATAACCCTCCCCTCCAAAAACGTTACTTTAAAACTTCGCTTGTATTAATTCCTGACCCCTCAGTCAAAAGGTGAAACAAATGGGGTGATGAGGTTGTGCCACGTAGAGGAAATGAGTTTGGATTCACGGCCTTGTGGGCCACCCACCTTCCATCTGTATCCCTCCTTGCCCTTCGTGCCTCTCCCTCCCGGGGTCCTGGGCTGACCTGCTTGAGACGTGCACTTGGAAATCCCCAGTGAGGTCTGTTCAGTGAGGGACCCGTGAAAACTTCCGTGAATGCTACAGCTGTCCTTCCAACGATGGTACACTCCGGTGTCCTTTGACTATTTGCTAGATTTTGCAATCTGCCCCTGGTAACAACACTGAGTGAAGAGATATGTAGGCATATACACTGGCCGTCTCCGGCTGGTTGTCCTCTGGGCTCATCATCAGCTCCAATCCCAATTCATGAGCACCCTGTGTGCCCGATCCCCAGCCCATCTGCTCTCTTCCCAGATTGCCCGATTCCATTTAAGGTCGTCACTGAACTGCGCACCCCAGCGAGCCTGACACCCCCTCCTCTGTCACCTACATCTAACTGGTCGCCAACCCTGGACAACTCTCTTCAATATCTCTCGTAGTTTGTTCTTTTTCTCCATCTCCCTGCCAGTTCTGGTCTGTGATCTTTTGCTTGAACTGTTCCCACTGCCCCTGCCCTTGGTTTCCTGCCTCCAGTCTTCTCCTGCTCTGTTCCACCCTGTGTTCCACCTCCAGGCAGCCGTCCTAACCCACAGCTCTCATTTTGTCATGGCTCTGCTTTCAGACTGATATGACTCACAGGGCAGTTTTGAAATATCTGCCAAAAATAAAAAGGCACCAGTTCTTTGAGTCAGCAAGCCCACTGCTAAGTATTTAATGCATAGATAATTTCACCCATGAACACAAAGACCCATAGACAAGAATGTTCACACTGCATTGTTCACAGTAGCAAAAGACTAGAAACAACCTTGGGGCCGGCCCCGTGGCATAGTGATGAAGTTTGTGTGCTCTGCTTGGGTGGCTTGTGAGTGGCCCGGGTTTCTCAGGTTCAGGCCCTGGGCATGGACCTAGTACCATTCATCAAGCCATGCTGTGGAGGCATCTCACATAAAATAGAGGAGGAGTGACACAGTTAGCTCAGTGACAGTCTTCCTCAAGCAAAAAAAAAAAAAGACTAGAAACAACCCAAATGTCCATCAAAGGGGGCACTGGTTAAATAATTTTGGTGCAGCCATATAATGGAATACTATGGTGCCATTGAAACAATATAGGGCTAATTATGCAGCACACAGACATATATGACTAGATTATTTCTGGACAAATACATAAGAAACTGTAATGGTGGCTGCTTCCAAGGAAAGCAACTGAGGGTCAAAGATGGGAAGGAGACTTGCTTTTCACTGTCTCTTCTTTTTGTTCTGTTCAAATATTCACTAAGTGTGTGTATCTGATTAAAAGAAATGGAAGGAGGAAGGCAATGAGGAAAGCCTCCTGTGATTTACCGTTAGATGCAGGATTGAGTCCAAATTTCTTAGCATGGGGTGCAAGACCTCTCCCTTCCAAACTGGGCAAGGCAGGAGGTCCCGCAGCCCGGCCACCTGTCCCTTCAGCTCTCTGTCCATCACAGGTACCTCCAAGTGCTCCACTGCTGCTCCCTGAACCGGGACCTGGAAATTCTGCCCTTTGGAGACATGACGGAGGTGAGTGGGAGGCGAGCCTCCCCAAGCTCTCTGGTGACGGGGCCTTTGTAACGGTCTTCTGGAGTCTTCGGGCTGCCTCCCTAGGTAAGTACTGAGCTGGCCCTGCAGCTCCTGCCTCAGAGCCTCCCTCACCGAAGGAGGGAAGTTGGGGCTCACCTCACAGTGGGAGCTGGCAAAGAGGCTACCTTACCCCCAAGGATGGGGTGCTGACCTCAAACTCCTCCTCCGGGAGCAGGAGCAGATACCCTGTGAGGACAAGAAACCTCCCATCCAGCCCAACCCCTCACCCCCCGTCCCTCTCTGGGCAGCACTTCCTTTGCCGGTGGAAGCATCAGCCAGAGCCCCACAGCAGCGACTGGATTTCTGACTGTTGCACTTTCCTGGTGATTCACTGTCTTTCACATGAGCAGCCTCCTTTAATCCCATGAGATCCCTGTAAGATAAATGCAGTGTTCTTGTCTTGATTTTACTATCTAGTAACAGCTCAGTCTGCTGCGCGCTAACTATGTGCAAAGTTCTGTTCTAGTAGCTTGAATGCACTGTCTTAGGTGAGCATCAGAGAGCCCTGGGAGGTCGTACTTAATGTCCTTCTTCTAAAGTGGGACTATAAACCCTCGAGGGCAGAGAGCCTGGTTGTCTTGTTGACAGTTGCCTCTTCAGTAGGAAAAACAGGTCTGGTCTGTACAATGCGTCAAGAAGAGCACTGGCCTCATCAGGTTGTTTGAGGTTCGGACGAGTGGAGACACACACAGGGCTTTGAGTAGTGCCCAGCACAGAGCAAGTGTTCGCTTGTCATTAGAAGAGCACAGAAGGCGTTTCCTAAGTGTTTGCTGAGTGAGTGACTGAACGGGGAACCGGGCCCTGGCCGGGCCAAGCAGCTCATCCAAGGCACACATTGGCACGTTGGTGAACTGGAGGCACAGCGGTGATAAGAGGTCACCCAGCTGCTCTTTCAACCCTGCTTCTTGTCAACAGAGACCTCAAGAGTTCTTGGCAGAGCGGGAGCCGGGACTTACACCCCGGCTCCCTCATCCTCAGAGCCTGACTGAGGGGTGGGCCAGCCGGCAGTGGCCTGGAGCGCAGTCTGCAAGGGCCCCAAACATGCTGCCCAGTAATGAGTGCCTCTGACTGGGTGTTCCTCCAGACAGAGGTGCCGTGCAAGGCGGCCCCTCCCATGATGGCAGCATAGAGTCCTGGCCTGTGTTCTGCTGAGTAGCTGTGTGTGGGGCCGTGGCCTTCGACCACACCCCTGACCCAGGCTGGTGGTCCTGCAAGTTGACAGTTGCAGTCAATGGAGATAGAAAGCCCAAAAAATAGGGAAGAAGGTGCTGTTTCTTGGGAACGAATGATTTATTTTATTATCTAAGTTGTCGAAAGTTTAATATGTCACCTAAGAAGTTGGCAGATTAGAAAAATTCTGTCTAATGATGAATTATAAAATTTTAATTAACTGAAAATTGGTTTGTCCATCCCCTACTAAGCAGATTTTGGAAACTATTTTTCAAATGCCAGGGGTGCCAAATCCTTAGGCGTCCAGCAGTGTGCACTAAGGGGCTCCATCTGTCACATGCGCCCGCTGGCTGGTTAGGGCACACCTGGCTGTGCTCACCCTTGAGACATGCTGCCTTTCGCTGCCTGTCCGCAGATTGGGGAGCGGGGCCTCAACCTCTCCGGGGGACAGAAGCAGAGGATCAGCCTGGCCCGTGCTGTCTACGCCGATCGCGATGTCTACCTGCTGGATGACCCCATGTCAGCCTTGGATAACCACGTGGCGAAGCACGTCTTTGAAGAGTGCATTCAGAAGATGCTCAGGGGAAAGTCTGTGGTCCTGGTGACCCACCAAATGCAGGTGACCCCCCTGCCAGGGCCCTGGCTATGCCTGACGGATCCTGGAGACCCTCGAGGCTGTGCTCTTTCAGGGTGATTCAGTGACAACCACACAGCAGCTGCCCCTTCATCTCAGACTTGACCCCCAAATTGGGGAGTGTTGTAGAGAACTTGGATTTCCTTTGCTTTCCACGTGGAGAGGATAGGCTGGTAAAAGATTTCTGTGGCTGGCAAAAATGAAACCAAATTTTAACATTTCCTTTTATCTTCAAAATTTTACGATCAGGCCCCTGCTTTTGAAGAAAAAAAAGAAAGAAGAAAATCCCTCAGGGAAGAATTGCCCGTGTCTTACCTTCTTCCCTGGTGTGGTGGCTGTGCCTGTCACCACCTCTCACACATTTTTTTTCCTGGATATTTGCAGGCTTGGTTTTGGCCTCAAGACGTTGCTATTATTTCTCCCTCTTTTTCTGTTTCTTTTTGCCTCCTTATTTTGGCCTTACCATTTTTTTCGTACAAAATATTTAAGACATAGAAATGGTTGAGAAGATAATCTGATGAAAACCCCCGTATCTCCTGCCCAGAGCCATAACCACACAGGATCCCGTCTCAGGTTGCATTCTGTTCTTCCCTCTTGCTCTCCTCATTTTCTTGTCCAGCATTCCCTGCCTGCCTTCATCCTTTGATAACACACATGGGAATCTCTGGCCATGACAAAGTGTCCTTTTGCATATTTTAAAACTTTTATGTAATTGATATTTTACTCTCTGTGTCCTTCAGTAATTTGCTTTGTTCACTCGACATTGTATTTCTGAGAACTTCTTTGTTGATACGTGTAACTCTAACCCTGACTGGTATGGTACCCCCATATCTGAAGATACCAGAATTTATTTCTCTAGGATGGACATTTAGGGTTTTTTTTTTTTTACCATTTTTCACTTTTACAAAAAATTCTCCAGTGTGCATCCTTCTACATGTGTCTTCTTGCACTTGTTCAAGAGCTTTTTCAGGGTGAAATTTTAGGAGTTGAATTGTTGGTTCATAATTCTTCAAAATCTTTAATTTTGCTAGATACTGTCAAATTGTTTTCCAAGTAGTTGTACCAATCTACACCCCCCTCCTCCATCCGCCCCCATTTTGTGAAAATTCTCTTCACCTCCATCGTCGCCGACACTTGGGGTTGCCCAATGTTTAAACTTTTCTAACCGGGTGGTATCAATAATATTTGAACATGATTTAAATTTGCATTTTCCTTTTGAAGAGTTAGGTTGAACATCTTTTCGTATGCTTACTGAAGACTTTATTTCTTCTTACTGTTCAGTATTTAGAGTTTTGTGACGAGATCATTTTGCTAGAAGATGGGAAAATCTGTGAAAAAGGAATTCACAGTGAGTTAATACAGAAAAAGGGGCGATATGCCCAACTCATCCAGAAGATGCCCAGGGAAGCCACACAGGTGATTTCTACCCAACCCCACCCGCATTCCCCACAGGGAGGAGCACTCCCTGCATCTGGGGTGTGTGCTTCCTCCCAGGACGTGCTACAGGACCCAGCAAGGAGGGCACAAGAGCCTCAGGTGGAAGGTCAGGCCCGGACCACCTTTCAGGAAGAGCCTCTCCCGGACGATGCTGGTAATGGTGCTGGGTCAGGGCGAGAACATTGCATGCCTGCCTGTGTCCGCCAGAGGTCCTGGCCCTTCCTTCTGGACCCAGACCAGGCCATGGCCCTCAGTGTCTGGGATCCTAGACATCACCATAAGGGTTACAGATCCAAGTAGTGGAAGAGCATGGGGTGTGGACTGTGCTAGTGAGGAGGCCTGAAGGATCCAGGAAGCATGTCACGGAGGGCACAGCTGAGGGTGTGCAGAGGCAGAGGCAGGAGGGGGAGTAAGTATCTTTGGCCTGGAGTGGCATAAATTTAAAGGTTTGCAAGACATTTTGATATTCATTTTTACATGTTTGTTGAGAACAAATTTTGAAAACAAAGTCATTAGAAATGAGAAATGAATTGGGCCCCAGCCTGGATATAGAGGCGCTCGTGGTCCTGTTGCTTTTTGAGACAGGGCAGCAGAACAGAAACGTCTTTATTTTTGAAATAAGACAAGTTCTGGGTTTGAATTCCAATGCTGCTGCTTCAAAGCTATGTGACCTTGGCCAAGCAATTTAACTTCTCTGAACCCTCACTGGCAAAAGTGAAGGCAATGGTGCTTACTCTGCAGTGTCATAGTGGACATCCGATGAGCTCAGGTGTGGGGAAGCCCCACCAGAGTGCCTGGCACTTTGTGGGCTCCTGTCACCAATAGCATCTTCAGCTGTGAAAGTCAGAAACCGGTTTGGTCAGAAAAATAATTGGAGGAAAGTGTGTCGATCACAGAATGAAAGGAAAAGTTGAAGAAGCAGGCCTCAGCAACTCTGGGGGCTAAGTAACAGGAACAGGTACAGAATCTTTGAAGAAAACCTACTCCACACGTTTTCCATCCTAGTGTAATTTCCCTCAAGATTCAAATATAGGAAGACAGACCTCTTCCCCAGGAAAAATTGGGGTGTTGTTATTATAAGGGAGAGTGTCAGGCAGAAACAACATGTTGACATGCTGCTTCCTGTTGTCGTCATTGTCATCGGCAGCATCTCCTAGTATCTCCAGGTACTGGTCTCCTTGCCCTGCCCCAGGCCAAGAGTCGGCCTGAGCTGGCATCACAGTTGTTTTTGAGGAGTTGTCTCAGAAGCATATTGTGCAAAGCATCTTAGCAACCATCTACTATAGGCCTGCCGATTGTCAGATGAGGAAACAGAGAGGTTAAGTGATTTGCCTGAGGTTACACAGTATTGTGATCACAATTCTGGAACAAGTTTCTGGTCCCAGGTCATTGCTTTCTTCATTCTCTCCTGCTGACTCTCTCAACTCATCAAGATCTTGAGAACCCCAAGCCATCCAGGATTTATTGAATGGCTGTTGGACCCCTTTTCCAGACTCTGGACTCCAGGTCAAAGATTTGTCTTCAGCAGAGTCTTCCATGGGAAATCGGCTAATTAGAGTCAGACTTAGGTGGGGCACTGCAGCTGGAAGGTGAGGAAATGGAAAAGGGTAGAAGCCGGGGCAGAGGGCTTTGCAAGGACCCCGGAAGGAGATGCAGGAGATTGGGAGGTGTACCATTTCCTTCTTCTCTTACCCTGAACCAGTGCTGGAAAATCAGCTCACAAAGAAGGAGAAGATGGAAGAAGGGTCCCTGAGATGGAGTGTCTACCACCACTACATCCAGGCAGCTGGAGGTACAGTCTGTCAGCTGCCTCATGCCAGGCCTGGGGCTCTCTCTCAGGCCAGCCCTGTCCCTGGAGCCGGGACAGACTGGAACGTGTGAGGTCATGTGAGGTCGAGAGACACAAGGGAGTCATGCCATTCCTGGGTTTAACTTCCACGCCCCAGTCCTACCTGACTTGATTATAGTAACTCTGCCACCCTACTCAACGCTGGAAGTTGTGTTTCCATGCGTAGTTGAGTTAAAATGTACCTGCAATTTGTTTAATTAAGTATGGTAAGACATGCAGACATGGAAATTCTTGTCACGAAGGGAGAAGTTTACCCTCACAGATCCCTGGGGGCAGCAGACGTGCTACACCATGCAGGGCACGTGGGGAAGCAGCAGCCGGTCAGAGCTGGAGGCACAAGAAGGGAGAGCATGGCCAAGAGCCATTATTGGGGTGTTTATGGGAAGGAGTGGGAGAGGCAGGGTAGGTACACTGAGTAAACTTAGGATTCAAGGATTTGGATAATTTCAGGGGCTCTGGGCTGTAAGCATCGTCTGGTTGTCTGGTGCCTGGCCCTAGGGTGGGTTAGGGCAGGGAGAATGTTGGCTTGGTGTGTGAGAGTTTGATAAACGAGATGGTTGGGAGTGTTGGCTGTGGATGGTTTGGTTTGCATATCAAAGGTGTGCTCACAGGGAGTTGTTTGCTGGCTCTAGGAATTAGCTGGCCCTGGGAAGGGCAGTCTCTCCAGGATGAAGGCCCCAATATTAGAGCATCAAGAATACAAAAAATAAGGGCCAGCCCTGTGGCCGAGTGGTTAAGTTCATGCGCTCCACTTCCACGGCCAGGGTTTCACAGGTTCAGATCCTGGGCGTGGACATGGCACTGCTCACCAGGCCATGCTGAGGCGGCGTCCCACATGCCACAACTAGAAGGACCCACAACTAAAAATGTACAACTATGTACATTGAAGAGATTTTTGTGAGTGCTTTTGACTCCATGCCAACATCTTACACAACTAGAAGGACCCACAACTAAAAATGTACAACTATGTACATTGAAGAGATTTTTGTGAGTGCTTTTGACTCCATGCCAACATCTTACTCTTCCTTCACTTTGGAGCCTGCCCTGGGTCAGGTGTGTCTTCTCTCTGCCTGCCGGTGGGGGAGAGGAGGCAGGGAGAGGAGGGCTCCCCTTCCACCATGGCATCCCTGTAGAGTATAGTGTCATCTTCAGAGTGGCCCCACAAGGCTGGTCTGACTGTCACCATGTCCTAGATGAGGAAGTGGAATGTCATGGACATTTGGTACCTTGCCCAGGGTCACATAGCTTGCAAGTAATAGAGGCAGGATTCCAACCCAAGGCTTTCTAACCTTGGACCCCAGCTTTTTCCAGTCCTCCAAGGTGTCCCAGGTGGATGGGGGTCAGGGAGATCCAAGGGCTGGGGTGGACCAGCAACTCTGTCAGCAGTTGCCTTGTACCTGCTTATGTCACCTGTGTGACTCCTCCCTCTCCCTCTCAGGTTACTTGGTCTCTGTCATGGTTTTCCTTCTCATGTTGGTGTTCATCTTCCTCACGACATTCAACATGTGGTGGCTGAACCATTGGTTGGAGCAGGGCTCAGGGGTGAGTGCCATGGCAGGTGTGGGGTACGGGGCCTCTTCCTCCCTGAGGCCCCATAAGGGCCAGAGCAAGGGCTAGGGACCTCCAATGACAAGCCCAGAACCTGCTGTTGCCGAGCGGACAAATGGAGCTCTAGAGAGAACCTCTGGGAGCCAGAATTCTGGGCTCCCTCCTGGCTCTGGCCTCCTGTGTTCACAGAATGAGCAGTCACCTATGCAGTCTTGTTGGGATGAAACCAAGAGGTTTCTGTCCCCAAACAGCTCCCAAGAATGCTTTACAGTGCACCTTAGTGACTTCTTCCTTTGGCAACAGTTTTGCCTTCTTGCTCTGCTTTATTTAAAATTGGTCTCTGCACTCCTTGTTGGGGGCTGGGAGGCCACACCAAAGATGGACATGACTGCCTTCAGTTAAAGCGGGGAAAACAGACTTGAGTCAGTCACTACCCACAGCAGGGGAAAGAGCTGGGCCCCATTCTGATTTGGGCAAAGGCAATCTGAGCATTTTAAAGGGAGAATGGGGGAGGGAGGGCAGGGCTCAGGGGAGTCAGGAAGTGCAGACTGCAAGGGTTGGTGAGTGGTGGGGTGGGGCACCCATGTTTGCGAGCTGGCAGTCACCCAAGTTAGGAGTCTGTCTTCCCACGGAGGCTGGAAGGCAGAGGCCCTGTCCTTCCTGATGATCACATTTCAAACAGTGGCTCTCAGGTCCTGGAGAGAGATGCTTCTGGGTTGCAAGAGATACAGATTCACCACTGTGAGCCTTTTCCAGTAGGCTCTCTGAGGGAGGCAGGTGGGGGGCATGCCATCAGGTGGTGGCTAGAGGCAAGAGCAGATCTTCCTGGCAGCATTTGAGCTTCCTCAGGTAGCATTTTAATGGGGTGCAGGGGGTCTGGGGTCATCCCAGGGACAGGCCTTAAGCCACCAGGAGAATACATGCTAGAGTCTGCTCGAGTCTCTTAGTGCCGGCATTTGGAGGGCGTTGTTCTGCATCGAGAGCTCTGCAGCTCTCAGCCATTATGTGCCTGGTTAATTCATTCATCTTCCCATGTTCTGAGCATCACCATCCCCATTTTAATTATGAGGAAACTGTGCCGAGAAAGAATAAAGAAGCTGCCCTGGGACATGAGGGTGCCAGGACTGGAGCTTGGTCCTCTGAATCCAAGCCATGTCTTTCCAATGCTTCACTTGGCTAACTTTTGAGTCACGTGTCAGGCAGGGTTTGGTCAGGAACACAGAAGCCACTTGAAGTCTTCAGAGCTTCCAAGGATTTAACATAGGAATTCGAGGCCACACAAACATTGGAGGGGCTGGAGGAGAGAGGGGACACGGGCTCCAGTGATCTCAGCAGCAGGCAGCACTGAAGTGGCAGGTTCTCAGAAGGATGCCTAGAAGCCACTGGCCAAACTCCACATCCCACGCACCTGCCACAGTCGTCACCAGCATGTGAGGGCTTCTCCTCCCATGAGTGGGTTTCCTTGTCTGAATCTAACCTGAGACCATGCTGGCAAGGAGTCTGGGAAACTGAGCTCCCAAGCTCTCCCCAGCATCACAGTGAAGGATGTAGAAGGGGCGGGGACGATGCCGGATGATAATCAAGCCCCAATTCCTAACACCATAGAGTGAAGGATGTTATGAAACTGTTTTTTACCCTGACAGAAGAAAGGAAGCTGCTGAGTAGAACAATCAGGGTGAAGTGGGTGATGGGGTGGAGGAAAGAGCCAGAGTCAGGGAGACAGGCCAGTTAGCCAGCTGTTGTCGTGGTTCAGAGGACAGACCATGGGGCCGAATCCAGCGCAGGGCAGCGGGGAGGGAGAGGAAGGGAGAGCCAAAGAGCCCAGCAGCAAGGCTTTAACATATAGTTTCACCTTGTCCCAGCAGCTGAGTCTTACGTGGCTTCAGGGAGAAGGATTTTTCTCCCTGCTGAATTTCACCCTGGACTCAGGTGGTCTGACTCCCTCAAAAGAAAACTCACTGGTTTGCTCTATTCGCACACAATGTTTCTGATATCCAAGGTGCATGTTTTCCCCCATTAACCAATTCTCCATCTCTGTGGACATACGCTCAGTATACTACAATTCAACTCAGTTCTGTCACCAAGTACCTGGAGTTAGCACAGACCCCACAGGTTAAGGGCTCGGTCCCACAAGACAGCCCCATTTCAGATGCCCATCATAAGTCTGGACTTCCTGTACTTTTAACGGACCAACTATAAATCAGGGATTCCCATGACCCCCTCCTTGGGTTTGATAATTTGTTAGAATGGCTCATAGAACTCAGGGAAACACATTTTTTGGTTAATATAAGGGATATAATAGAGAAGCAGCCAGATGAAGAGGTTCACAGAATGAGTTCCAGAAGGGTCCAGGTGCAGGAGCATCTGTCCCTGTGGAGTTGGGGTGCACCAGCTTCTTGGTGCATGGATGTAGTCAGCAACCTGGAAGCTCTCTGAACCCTGTGCTTGGCAGCTTCCTCTTGTAGGCATGATTGATTATGAACTCAATCCGCAGCCCTTCTCCCCTCCCCGGAGGATGGGAGGTGGGGCTGAAAAGTCCCTAGCTTCTCCTCATAGCTTGGTCTTTTTGGAGACCAGCCTCTATCCTGAATGGTAGGGCCCCTGGCCACCCGTCATCTCATTAGCTACAGAAGGACACTCCTATTGCTCCAGAGACTCCAAGGGTCTAGAAGCTCGGTGTCAGGAACCAGAGTCAAGTCAAATATTAGAACAAAAGATGCTCCTAGCACCCCTATCACTTAGGCAATTACAAGGGTTTTAGGAGCTCTGTGCCAGAACTGGGGACAAAGACCACATATATTTCTCATCATATAACACCCCTTGTTCTTTCTTGAAGGCCAATAGCAGCCAAGAGAGCAACAGGACCCCTGCAGACCCAGGTGACATCCTGGAGAACCCTCAGCTGCCCTTTTACCAACTGGTGTACGGCCTCAGCACCCTGGCTGTAATCTGCGTTGGGATTGGTTGCTCGAAGGCTTTCACCAAGGTCACAAGAAAGGCATCCACAGCCCTGCACAACCAGCTTTTCCACAAGGTACGGGCCCGGACACTGCGTGTGGCCACAGGGGAAACCCTGACTTTGCCCCATTTTTTTTAGTGTTTATTTTTTGAGCAGATTTTGGTTTAAGAAAAATTGAGTGGAAAGTACGAAGAGAGTTCTCATATTCCCCTTACCACTCCTGCAGTTTCTCCTATTATGAACCTCTTGCATTAGTGTGGGACATTTGTTACAACTGATGAGCCAATATTTATACAATAGTGTTACTATTAACTAAAGGCCATAGTTTACATTAACTGTTAAAGTCCATAGTTTATGTTAACCGTTCACTCTTTGTGTTGTATATTCTATGGGTTTTGACAAATGTATACTGACATGTATCCATCATTAAATATCATACAGAATAGCTTTGCTGCCCTAAGGCCATGCTGAGGCGGCGTCCCACATGCCACAACTAGAAGGACCCACAACTAAAATATACAACTATGTACTGGGGGGATTTGGGGAGAAAAAGCAGAGAGGAAAAAACAAGAAGATTGGTAACAGTTGATAGCTCAGGTGCCAATCTTTAAAAAAAATAAAATGCCGTCTGTAAAGAGCGTGGCTGTGCTGGGGGTTGGGGAAGCCTTGGGAGGCCTGGTCCTGTCCCGGTTTTGCCATTAACTACTTGGGCGGCCTTGAGCAGATCGCTAAGCCGCTTTGCCTTCCTGGGCCTCAGTTTCCTCATCTGTAAAATGAGGATGCCAACCTCGATGGTTTTGTTAGGGCCCTTCTAGTGTGAAACGTCCTTCGATCTCCAGAGGGTCTCACGTCCACTGCTTTCAGAGGTCCAGTCAGGACACCACCTTTGGGAAGGGCAGTCGTGTTTCCAGTCACCCAAGTCGCCGAGTCATATGCAACCACAGTGGAACTGCTGCTGCCAATTTTTTGTGATTCTGAGTGAAAATGGTCTTATCTCTAGAAAATAATAAGAGGTGATATTAATGGGATGCTTGTCAGGGGCAGGCACTGCTGTAAGCACTTTCATTGTATTGTTTGTTTCTTCCCCCCTTCCCCCTTCCCTCTCTCTCCCTCTCTTAAATAATAGCTAGAGATATAATTCACCTGACCATAAAATTCACCCTTTTAAATTGGCCAACTGAGAGGTTTTTAGCATATTTGCAGAGTTGTGCAATCCTTACCACAACTCTATGAAGCATCATTATCATCCCCGTTTTGCAAATAAGAACATTGAGACTCAGAGGGGTTAAGTAACATGCCCAAGGTAACACAGCAGGAAGTGAAGGAGTCCATAGCACGGCAACTCAGGCAGATTGCCTCTGGAGCCCATGCCTTCAACCTGCTCCACCTTCTCTCCCCTGGACACTGCTTATCTGCATCCTGCACCTCTTCAGAGCCTAAGGGTAACTGACATCTTCAAGTCCCAAGCAAGGCCTGCAGCTACTCTCATGATCTGGGTCGCTTTTGTTCCTGCAGGTTTCCCGCTATCCCATGAGTTTCTTTGACACGACCCCAAGAGGCCGACTCCTAAACTGCTTTGTTGGGGATTTGGATATGCTGGACCAATTCTTTCCTTCTGTTGCTGAACACTTCCTGCTTCTGATTTTGCTGATAATCTCCACCCTGCTGATTGTCAGTGTGCTGTCTCCATACGTCCTGCTGTTAGGAGCCATAATAGCCATCTTTGGCTTCGTTTATTGTATGTGAGTGGGTTCTTTTTGCTTGTGAATGGGGTTTGTGACTTGAGGGGAGAGGCTAGGACCAACTTAGGATTGGGTGGTCCCTAAGGCGGATGGCCCAGGTCACTCACTCTCATTCTCGATGCAGGATGTTCAAGAGGGCCATCACTGTGTTCAAGAGACTGGAGACCTACAGCCGCTCCCCTTTATTATCCCACATTCTCACCTCTCTGCATGGCCTGAGCTCCATCCATGTCTATGGAAAAACTGAAGACTTCATCAACGAGTGAGTCCTTCTGCTGCCATGTCAGGATGATAGGGATGGTTGGGGAGAGGAAAAGCAGGAAAGTAGGAAATAGAGTATCTGGGAATAGTGTCATCTTCAGAAGAATCAGAGAGAGCACTGTTTTATCCTGTTTATTGTTCTGAGCCTCCAGAACCTCATCTATAAGATGATGCTTATAAGAATAAAAAATGTAAGTGATGTGGAAAATGTTTGTAAACCTTAGAGACCCGTGGATATTGCATATATATATTAGTACAATGAATAGTAAGAAGTATTACTTGTGTCAGCACTTCTTGCATTGCTTTTCTTTTGCTTCCAAACAGGTATCTAATTTTGATAAAATAATAAGGAGTAATAGCTTTCTGAATAACAGAATTTCCTTCACTATTCATAGATTTGCCTTGTAAATGTTTGTTGAAACAAATAAGAAAAATCCTATGATTGTTGCTGAGGCTGAATTGTGTAATATAAACTTATCTCCCTGTAAAGATGAATCCAACATGGTCAGCACTGAACTGTATACAGGAAGCTCACAGTGGGGTGGAAGACAGGCGGCACAGACACCTTTTTGTAATGATACAGGGTTGGAGGTGACAGGCAGCACCGGAGAGTAGCAGATAAAATGCCATATGAGTTCAGAGGGGAAAGAGATGCCTTGCAGCTCAGGGTATCAGGGAAGGCTTTCGGGAGGAGGAGGCATCTGAGCTGGCCTCGGAGCCTGGTAAGGTTTGAGCAAGGAAGGTGGTGTGTGTTCAGTTAACTGGAATATGGGAAGAACCAGGGCACCAGCTCTCCAGTGGCGTTGGAGAGCACCCAAGGACTGTGTGGACACCAGGACTGAGGGATCCTGGAGCATGCCTTCCTTGAGTCAACACTGAGAGCCTATTAGGTGCCTGGAGCCCACTGGGGATACAGCAGTATGCAGGACAGATACAGCTCCACTCTGAGGTGGATGGGGACCAGGAAGGGATCACTTCCTTCTCTCACTCACAAGTCCTGGCATTTCTTCACTCTCATTGGCCCAGTTAGGTAACTTACCCATCTCTGAATCCATCGACAGGGCCAGGGGAAGATGCCCTGATGGGCCTGCATCGGTCAGAGTCTTCTCCTAGATCTGGGTAGGGTCAACTCCACGGCTGAGAAAGGGGTAGGGAGGAACCCCCCAAAGAGAAGTCAGCTTCTGTTGGTGGGAGCTGGATGTTGGGGGAAGCAACAGTGTCCACCCTTGGGAAACCCTGGGCTAGACAAGCACAAGTGGTGTTCAGGTGTTCTTTCTTTCTCAGGTTTAAAAGGCTGACTGATACGCACAACAACTACCTGCTGATGTTTCTGTCTTCCATCCGATGGGCGGCATTGAGGCTGGAGCTCATTACCAACCTGATGACCCTGGCTGTGGCCTTGTTTGTGGCCTTTGGCATTTCCTCTGCCCCCTATTCCTCTAAAGCCATGGCTCTCAGCCTCGTCCTGCAGGTGAGGCAGGCACTCTTGGACAGCTGGGGCTCGGCCTGTGGCCTGTGGGCAGACTCAGGGGATCCGTGGGTCTTTACTCCCTGGCTTTTTGGCTGTTTGTGATCTTATGAACAGTGTGTTTGGCCTCCTGAATCTGCTGCTTTGCTCTGTTTCCGTGTCACCTCTGAACCTGAGGTCTGTCTTTAAAGGTGTTTAGTGGAATCATAGAATCTTGGGATTGAAGAGGAGCCTGCAGGCAACAGAGTCCCACCATCTTATTGTGCAGATGGGGAAACAAGCCCAGAGAGGGGAGGGAGTTGTCTGAACAGACAGTGTTAGAAGCAGAGCCAGAGCAAGAACACTGGCCCCTCGGCTTCCTGGCTGGTGTCTTCACTTCACTGTTCATAGCCTGACTCTCTTGTTGCACTTCTGAGTTGTCTGGGGAGGGTGTTCAAAGGTGGTGTTCCAGGCCCTCCCCTGGAGCAGGGCTTCTCAGACTTGAAAGTGCCTAAGACTTGAAACAGAGCACTTGTTCCCAGCCTCGCAGGCTTACTCAGCCTGGGCCCCTCTGGGCCCGTGGGAGGGCCACACGCCAGAGCACAGCCATAGGGTCCAGTGTCAGGTCCTAGTCAGGCAGGAGCTTGGAACCTAATCTTAAAAACCTGTTCTCTAGGGGACTGTGATGTAGCAGTCTGTGTACCTCATGGCCTGGGTTCCTCTACACCTGGCATGCTGGGGGCATGGAGAGAGAGTGGCTGGTCAACGTCTCTGTCCAGAGAGTCCTGTGCAGGGGCCATCTGTGAAGGCCTGTGAGGCCAGAGGCTGGCTCAGCAGCCGCCTCAGGGAACCCCGGCTGCTCAGTTCCAGGGCACCCCCTAGGGGTGTTTGTTAACTGTCCAGCTGTGGCTGTGTGGCTCTCTCTAACCTGCCTTAGATCTCATGTGCCCCAGTGCTGAGGTGTTCTCTGGGTGTGCAGGGGCTCCAGCTTGCTCCTTGTTCAGCCCTGCAGCACACACACATTTGCACATACGTACAGTCCTGTGCTTATAGATCCATGCCAGTGTGTGCAGAAACTTCCACTGGCGCACAGGCCGTGCAGACAGCTGGCAGAGCTCACGCTGGCAGCAGCTGACCAGTGTGGGAACAGTGGGATTCACTGGGAGCTCGTGCTGGGCCGGCACTGTGCTGGGCACTGGCGGGGCTTTCTTCCCTTGAATGCTTGCTGCGCTCCGCGAGGTCCCACAAAGTGCTTGAGAACGTGTGGTGTGGGCGTGCAGCTTCACAGCAGGCTCTGCCCGCTGTCAGCCGTGGGGCTTTGGGGAGGTCTGTGGCCCTTCTCGTGTCTGGGATTCCTCATCTGTAAAAGTGAGATAATGAAGGTTCCAAAATCACGGACTTGTGAGGAATGTGTGTAAACGTGAGGGTTAGTACACATTAAACCCCTGGAGTAGTGCTTGGCCTGAGATAAAGGCTGGATCACTGTGAGCTCTTGTGGTTTCTGGCTTACAGATAGGAAACCAAAGCTTTGGAGTTAAGTAACTGCTCACATTCCCACAGCGAGGACGAGACAGCTTTGTCCACAGGGACCACACTCACTCTGTCTCTTTGTCCCTCTCTCTGACGCGCACCATCCATGGACACACACACACATGAATGAGCACATGCTCACGTGCACCAGGGCAGAGTTGTTCCGAGCCTTCCAGAACTCTGGGGAGAGATGCCAAACTGGTGTCTCAGGGGACTTGAAGTCACTCAGGCTGGAAATCTGCCTGGTTGTTGCAGCACATGGGCTGGGCAGGCAAAGTGTGGGTCAAGGTCGTCCAGAGCTGGTGCAGGCAGAGGCTCATCTCTCCCAGGGTGCACTGTGGACCACAGGCACCCGTTCAAAGGTCTCCCCAGCTTGTTCCCCACAAGGAAACTCATGAGAAGCTCCGCCCCGAGGCCTGACTTTGCTTCAAAATGGCCCTGGGTCCGTTCTTTATTCTCAACATCTGCTGCCCTCTTCTCATCTCTGTTTTGGGTAATAACCTCCCAGCCTCCCCATCTGCCCCCCAAGCCCTGAACCCCTTCCAATCCACCTTATGCACTCTCACCAGAGTGAATTTTGCTTTTCATTTAAAAAATTATTTTATTAAGGTCACATTGGTTTATAACATTGTGTAAATTTCAGGTGTACACTATTATATTTCAGCTTCTATATGGACTACATCTTGTTTGCCACCAATAGTCTAGTTTTTATCTGTCACCATACATATGTGCCCCTTTACCCCTTTTGCCTGCCCTCCACCCCCTTCCCCCCTGGTAACCACTAATCTGTTCTACTTATCTATGTATTTATTTGTTTATCTTCCACATATGAGTGAAGTTATATGGTAATTGTCTTTCTCCCTTTGACTTATGTCACTTAGCATACTACCTTCAAGGTCCATCCATGTTGTCGCAAATGGCACGATTTTGTCTTTTTTATGGCCAAGTAGTATTCCAATAAATATATATACCTCATCTTCTTTATCTATTCATCTGTCGATGGGCACCTAGGTTGCTTCCAAGTCTTGGCTATTGTGAATAATGCTGCAATGAACATAGGGCGCATGTATGTTTTTGAATTAGTGTTTTCATGTTGTTTGAATAAATACCCAGAAGTGGAGTAGCTGGATCATATGGTATTTCTTTTTAATTTTTTGAGAAATCTCCATACTGTTTTCCACAGCGGCTGCCCCAGTTGGCATTCACACCAGCAGTGTGTAAGCGTTCCCTTTTCTCCACATCCTCTCCAACACGTTATTTCTTGTCTTTTTAGTAAGAGCCATTCTCATTGGTGTGAGGTGATATCTCACTGTAGTTTTGATTTTCATTTCCCTAGCAATTACTGATGTTGATATCTTCTCATGTGTCTGTTGGCCATCTGTATATCTTCTTTGAAGAAAAGTCTGTTCATTACCTCTGCCCAATTTTGGATCAGGTTGTTTGTTTTTTTGTTCTTGAGTTGTATGGGTTCTTTATATATTTTGGAAATTAACCCCCGTTTGGATATATGATTTGCAAATATGTTCTCCCAGTTGGTGGGTTGTCTTTTCGTTTTGCTGATGGTTTCCCTTGCCATGAAAAAGCTTGTTAGTTTGATGTAGTTCCATTTGTTTACTTTTTCTTTTGTTTTCCTTGCCTGAGGAGAAATGATATTCAAAAGGATGCTGCTAAGACCGATGTCAAAAAGTGTACTGCTTATGTTTTCTTCTAGGAGTTTCAGGGTTTCATGTCTTACATTCAAGTCTTTAATCCATTTTGAGTTGCTTTCTGCGCATGGTGTAAGATAATGGTCTACTTTCATTCTTTTGCATGTGGCTGTCCAGTTTTCCCAACACCGTCTATTGGAGAGACTTTCCTTTCTCCATTGTATGGTCCTGGCTCCTTTGCTGAAAATTAGCTGTCTGTAGATGTGTGGTTTTATTTCTGGGCCCTCAATTCTGTTCCGTTGATCTGTGTGTCTGTTTTTCTGCCAGTGCCATGTTTTCTGGTTACTATAGCTTTGTAGTATATTTTGAAATCAGGGAGTGTGATATCTCCAGCTTTGTTCTTTTTTCCCGGGATTGCTTTTGCTATTCGGGGTCTTTTGTTGTTCCATGTAAATTTTAGGATTCTTTGTTCTATGTCCATGGAAAATGTTGGTGGGATTCTGATTGGGATTGCATCGAATCTATAGATTGATATAGGTAATATGGCTATTTTAACTATGTTAATTCTTCCAATCCATGTGGAATACCTTTCTGTTTCTTTACGTCTTCTTCAATTCTTTCAACAATGTCTTACAGTTTTCAGTGTCCAGGTCTTTCACCTCCTTGGTTAAATTTACTTCTCGGTGTTCTATACTGTTTGTTTTGATTGTAAATGGGTTTATATTCTTGATTTCTCTTTCTGTTAGTTCAAAGTTAGTGTATAGAAATGTGACTGATTTTTTTATGTTGATTTTGTACCTTGCAACCTTACTGGATTTGTTAGTTATTTCAAATAGGTTTTTTTGGTGGGTTCTTTAGGGTTTTCTCTATATAGAATCATGTCATCCACAGATAGTGGCAGTTTTACTTCTTCCTTTCCAATTTGGATAACTTTTGTTTCTTTTTCTTGCCTAATTGCTCTGGCTAGGACTTCCACTACTGTGTTGAAAAAGAGTGGCAGGAGTGGGCATGCTTCTCTTGCTCCTATTCTTAGAGGAACAGCTTTCAGTTTTTTAATGTTGAGTATGATGTTGGCAGTGGGTTTGTCACATACAGCCTGTATCATGGTGATGTACTTTCCTTCTATCTCCATTTTCTTGGGAGTGTTTATCATAAATTGATGTTTATGTTGTCAAATGCTTTCTCTGCATCTATTGAGATGATCGTTGATTTTTATTCCTCATTTTGTTAATGTGGTGTATCAAATTGATTGATTTGTGGATGTTGAACCATCCCTGCATCCCCAGAATAAATCCCACTTGACGGTGGTGTATGATTCATGTGACGTATTGTCGTATTTGATTTGCTAATATTTTATTGAGGATTTTTGCATCTATGTTCATCAGTGACATTGGCCTGTAATTTTTGTTTTTTATTTTGTCCTTGTCTCGTTTTGGTATCAGAGTAACGTTGGCCTTGTAAGATGAGTCTCCCATACTCTTCAGTTTTTGGGGAAGAGTTTGAGAAGGATAGGTATTAAATATTTGAATGTTTGATGGAGTTCACCAGAGAAGCTGCCTGGTCCTGGACTTTTGTTTTCTGAAGGTTTTTGATTACTATTTCAATGTCTTTACTTGTGATGGGTCTATTCAGATTCTGTATTTCTTCTTGATTCAGTTTTGGGAGGTTGTATGATTCGAAGAATTTATCCATTTCTGCTAGGTTTTCCAATTTGTTGGTGTTTGGTTTTCATAGTATTCTCTTATAATCCTTGGTATTTCTGTGATATCCATTGTAATTTCTCCTCTTTGATTTCTGATTTTATTTGTTTGATCTTTCTCTCTCCCTTTCTTCGAGAGTCTAGCTAAA